TATTAACAAATGCATTATATTTGCTTACACAGATATTGATGCAGAGCACAACAATGGGGCCAAAATATGTGCGTGTGTTTGTTTTGGCCATAAATCAACATTCTATCGCATTGTATTAAAAACTTAGCATTGGGCACATTCTGCACCCATTTCAATGCCAATCGTTTGACTGCCAGCCTCCCAGATAAAGTCGAAATTATATGAGCATTTTATGGCCAGGGCCCCAGAAATCAGTCAGTTGTGAATTGAAACGTTGCACGCACCAGGAGAGTGTGAGACCGAGCATCTGCCGCCACTTCACTAGCAGAGGAACGGGTAGAAGCAGAGCCAGAGCCAGAGACAGATATAGGGGCAGAGGCAGAGGCAGAGGCAGAGGCACAGGTTGGCCCTTTATGCTCAAGGACTGAATGTCGATGAATACGATATGATACGTTTGATGCGTGCGTGTGTGCGTGGGTGGAGGGGGCAATGTTTGTCGATGTGTCTCTCTGTGTGTGGGTGTGGGCGTGGGTGTGTTGTTGGTGTGCATGCGAGAGAGTGTAAATATGTGCGTTATATAGCAAACGCAAGACTATTACACTCGGGCAAAAGGAGGAGCATTTCAAACAGTTGAATATTTGGCTTACCGAATTTATTATATTTAAGCTTTTGTTGGAGCAGTAAGAGACAATTTAGTCTAATATAATAGGCATATTTAGCAATTCAAAAGAAAGACAAACATAGGCTAGTCGGAAGCTTAGAACTCAAACTGCTATGTTGCTTAGGCTAGATCTATATATAGCAGAATGTCTTATTATATTGAGATAGAATGAAAGAGACATTATATTTTTTTTTTTTTTTCGGCATAAACATATCAAGAGCTATGTCCAAGCACATAAGATTAGTTTAGTGCACTGATACAGACACTTGCCAGACGCGGATGATGTTGTCGGATTAGCTGGCGAACTCATCAAATATGAAGACACATCATATATGCACAGTGAACGATATATTTGCTATAAAGATATTATACGGATCAAAGATATATATATATATATATATATTTATTTATTTATTTATATATCTATAGCGCATATACCAATCCAGTCATTGATCATTCTCCAACTAAGCGTGTATTCGAGTGCTTTTAAGGTCTCACGCATACATATATCATCTATATCATATCGAAGAGCAGTCAAGGACCGGCGTATATCATATTGAACCACTTGATAGTAGTGAATTGTTTCCGGTTCGCTGTTTTTGGTTTATTCGAGTTTTGGTTTTGGTTTTTTTTTTTTTTTTTCATTTTCTCTCTCACTCGTTTTTTTTTGCCACTCCCTTGAGTTTTTCATGTTGATTGCGTTTGAATTTCCGCTAGCTGTTCCGATATACTATGTAGCTATGCCTGCCATTCATCGATGTGTTTCTTTTTCATTTTTTTTACTCTCGATTTTTTTCCTCTTTTGCGAAATTCAATGAATTTGAGGAATACACAAATCTGAAGAGCGCGCAGCCACGCTGCGTCTTTGACACAGTCACACGGGCGCAAATAGACAAGCAAGGTGGGGCGTGTGGGGGGCGAGGGCGTGGCTGTTGCATGCACGATGATACACAGCATGCGGTATATATGGTGTATATACATATATGGTCTATGGTGTGCGGCATACGGTGTATGCTATACGTTGTATGGTATATGGTGTGCGCTGTATGGTATGATGTATGGTGTATATGGGCTAGCCGTGCTGGTACAAACATGTTTGCATTTCAAATTCGACCGTCAGTTCCTTTCAGAGCGACCGTAGGCAGCATGCGAAATTGGAGGCCACATACGAATACGACTACGAAAACGAATGCGAATGCGAAAAAGGCCCAAAATAAACGCAATCACAAAGAAAGAAGATGGAGGAGAGCGAAGGGCTGGCTAAATGTCTGGCTGACTCTCTGACTGGCTGCCGTCGTGTTTGCTCCTGTAAATTGAGCACCCCGCTCAGTGGGCGGCTGACGTGAGTTTATTAACGTTTGGTTTGGGCGCCAGCCAACATTTTCGACTCAATGACAGCAAACATTTACATTTTGCATGTTGTCAGCGCTCGATTCACTAACGCCCCCATTTTGGGCAACCCATTCTGAGAAGGCTTTCCACTCTGCCCACTCTATCACCCAGCCTCTCACCCTCTCGCACTCTCTCTCTCTCTCTCTCTCTCTCTCTCTCTCACTCTGTGCTTCTCTGCCCTGACCCCTTTTCACTTTTGAATTCAGAGCCTTTGTAACTGAGGATTTACTTAGCATCAAAGTTCTTTGTTACTTTTGCACCTTTCTTGCTGCTGCTGCTGCTGCTGCTGCGGCTGCTGGGCTGTCAATTGATAAGACTCAATGTATATATGTATATCAAAGCCAGCCAATATTTATTCAGGTCTAGTCAAGCGGCAACTTTATGTGAACAAAAAAATAAAGTTTTAACAAAAATGCTTAACATTTCGTTGACTAAATGGAAAATATTTGTTTGCATTTGAATTCTTAACTGAGGCAATTTATTGTGTTTTCAGAAGAAAAGAAAACCAATTAAAACAATGACATCAAACTAAAATATAATTAAGCGAAATCTTTGGTAAAATTAATTTATAATAGTATAAAGTATTATAATCTTGTTCAGTCTGAATGTCTTACAATTCAAATACTCTTAAGGCTTATATAACGTCATTCGACTGCAGCTCAATAGCCAAGACACGCGCCCTTTTCGATCTCAGTCAAGTAGCAAAGCTTAAGCCTATGCACAAACCACAGCCAAGACATTAGCTCAGTTTGATCTAGGTCGTCATAGCTGAAGCCTGGCCACGAACCACAGCTAAGACACGAGCCCACTGATCAGAGCAAAATGAAGAGAGAGCGCAGAGCATGTCAAACTGTGGCTTGCTCTTGTTAGCTTCAACAAAGTAACAACACAACTACTGATATACTACTGATACTCAACACAAACTGCTGATATGCCTATCTTCCGCTTATCAAGCTTATGAAGCTTGCCCCCATAAAGCTGTGCTCTTCACAACTGAAACAAAACTGAGGCCGTCAAGCTAGTTATCAAATCAGAAGATTTTTACTGGAAAAAGAGCGCTAACTAATTAGACTTATATACAAATATTCACATATACATTCATTTATATATATAAACATATATAGATCTGTATCTGTATTAAAAATGCATTTTTGATTACTCAGATGTTGATTGTAATTAAGCCCCACTTAAGAGCCTATAGAGCACTGTTTAGACTCATAATTAAATCGCGTCATGTGCCTAGCAATAAAAACAATAACACGCTCAAGTAAATAAAACTCAGCAGCTGTTTATCGGATTGGGAATCTTTTGTCATCGATTGAAGTGTGTTTAATTGGAGTAGGAGCCACGTCTGCTGCACTGGGCGATGGGAATGCAGGTGCCAGCGGAGTCGCGGGCAAAGCCTTTGTTGCAGTAGCAGCCGTCGGGGCAGCGAATATGCCTGATCAGGCAGGGCTGGTTCAGCGTAGCGCACTCCGTCTGGCAGCTGGGACCGCAGGGCAGAAATGTCTCGTTAGCCGGGCATGCGCGAGGCGCTGCAAAGGATTATCAATCGTTACGCATTAGCATTAGGCCAAGCAATGCGCCGCTCACGCACTTACTGATGGGCACCTGGGCAGCTACCAAGGCCAAGAGGCAGACACCGAGCAGCAGGCACTGAGCACTGAACACTTTGCACGCAGACATCTTTTGGGCTTCTCTTGATTTCCTGAAATGCTTCCAGTCGCAAAACTCGTTGGCAACTGAACTGATTTGCATGAGTCGAGCGTGTTTTAATCAAGATGTTTAACCAAGATAGTATTGAGTTGCTCGCTGGGGAAGCACCTGGCCAGACAATGACTCATTTTAATCATTTTTATTGTACCGAGCCCGCAAAGTATGCTACAAATCAGAGAAATATACATTAAATTTATATAGGTATAAATATATTATATATAAATATGTATAGATATTTTGTATATTTGTATATTTTTGTTAAACAAGTGTTCTTCTACGTTTATTTTTACATTTAGTGGAAAGGATCTGAGTTAATGTATATAGAAATATATTAAATTATAGTAATATATATACATAGAGAAGAATTATTATTATATTTGCTAAAATTGTTCTATATATTATAGGCAGATCCACTAGATGGACAGTCTGCTTTTCCCTGGCTTGGTAGTCAGATATCTGGCTAGACCGTTACGATGATAGCTGTGTAACATCGTCCACCTGATATACTGATATATTATATTATTAGAAATTTGCTTTAAGATGACTAATTGACTAATTTTTTCTTATTTTATTTTATATAATATTAATTTGATTAATAACATAATTTTCATAATAAATAATATATTTTTAATAGTTTATTCCAGTTTTTTTCAGTTCAATTTATTGCAATTTCTAGTCTTCTAGGCTCACCTTTGCTTCAAGCCTTCAATTTTGCGCCTGTTCGTACCTCAATTCTATTTTTACTGCCTAAAGAGAGTTTGCTGAGGCCCGTCAGCATTACCTTCATTATTAGTAGTTTCTAGAACAATGTCTGTCCACCTGCCTGAAAAGCTGAATTCATGTATGCTAACAAAATCAAAGAGATAGGCAGAAGTACAGAAGTAGATGGAACTGACTGGTATTATTGGTAGGCAATATTATTGCTATACCCTTCAGCAACTCCCTCTTTGATTTGCCATAGGAACATAGATCATAAGATCTTTCATACATACATATTCCACTCTACGATTACAAAGTGCAACTTGAAATCGAATATTCACTGTTATCGATCGTCGTTTCTCTCCAGCAATCTGGCTACACTGAGTGCTGCCAGATCAGCGCCAAATCGCACGCATCTGGCAGCGTCAGCTGAGCGACTCGAACAGGTAAACGGGTCGCAATACTTGTTATAGCTCTGTACCTGTTTTTCGTTTCGTTTTGTGGCGCTCTCTCGCTCTGTTCGCGAGTCGCCGTCTCCTTCTTCGCGTTCGCCTTAGTTGAGTTTTGCATGCGGCGCGTTCAACAACGAGGCAAAAAGCGTAACGCGATTCGGTTCATTTTTTTCATTAATTTTTGTTGTTGTTTATTTATTTACTTACTATTTTTTTTTTAATTTGTGTTCGGGCATCTCGACAACAACAACAACAACGGGATATAAAGTGAATATTTATTTGATTGTGCCGTGTTCTGTGTGCCAAAGCGTGAGTTGCCTTCGCCAAGCCAAATCTCTGACATGGCCGATGTAAACGGTCGATAGTGCTAAAGAAGCGATCAACGGACCTTTGCGGCCTTTGAACTCTGACAGCTTTTGACATATGTTCAGAGCTTTGCTCGCCCACTCTTTGCGAATCGTACTTCTTTGACTCGCTGCTCATTCACACACTCTCTTTCTCTTTCTCTACATCTGCCTCTCTCTCTCTCTCGCTCACTCGCTCTCTCGGCGTCGCTAGCTAAGTCCTTCTCTGTCACTCAGTGGAGTGCTAACCAGGCCATGCATTTTTCTGTTTTCGCAACAAGACGTCAATGGCCAAAGGCGCTGCCAGCATCGTCGCCGTCGCCGTCGCCGTCGTCGTCGTCGTCATTTTTCGAAACGTTCTCGCTTTGTTGCATTCCAAAGTAAATGCTACTAATAACAAAAAGGCAACAACAACAACTATATAGTGGTAGTAGTTGTAGTAAAGAGAAAAAGGAAGGCAATCCAAAGCGGCGGCCGCTTCCAATAAAATGAGGAAAAAATAAAAAAGTTGCCTGACTTGTTTCAGCCACGATTGTGAGAGTGTGTGCGCATGTGTGTGTGTGTAAAGAGAGTGAAATACCACATGTGTATGCATGTGTGTGTGTGTGTGTGACTGTGTGTGTGTGTGCATTGGTTTAAGGCGGTTGGCTCTGGGCATGCCCAAATGCCTTTGTGGCCAGCTCAAAGGCTAAAACCAAATTCGACATCGACAGAAATTTAAGCAACTTAAACGCCAATAAAAATCAACAATAAACTATTTAAATATTTTGCCAATAACAATTTAAAAAGTCAACAACAATTTGAGGCAATTATTTATTATTATGCAAAAACTTTGAAAAGCCAATCGAATATTTGAAATTAGTGAAATTAATGCGGCCATTAGAGTGTCTCTCTCTCTCTCTCTCTCGCACTCTTTCTCCCTCTCTCTTTTACTCTCTTTCTGTGCGTGTGTGTATACAACAAGTTCGTTGCCTAAGTCATTTGTATGATAATAAGCCAAGCAGCAACGACTGCAGTTAATCAAACCAAATCCCCACGCAGCTGGACGTACAGTAGACAAAGAGAACAACAAATAGATGCGAGGCATTAAAAAGTCATCAGCTGTGAATCGGACACAGAATCGAATATATATATGTATATGTATATGTATATACATATATGTATAGCCTAAGTAAATTGCAAGCTACATCTATATATTATAATAAGCAACTGTAAAATCTCACGTCAAGTCTCGGGCTGATCGCAACCCAGAAACCTAAACAAATTAAATACCAATACAAATACACATATGTATATACACACACACACACCACACACACACCACACACATACCTTAGACAGCAATTTACGACGAGGCGTCAGCGACTCCAGTTCGGGACGCTGTCGCCACATTCCACGGCAAGTGGAGGCCATAAATTGTCAGTGAAAATTTGTAGCCCGAAAATGCTTAAACATGAAATTTATTAGACAAAGCCAGGAAAATTAAAAAAAAAGCAAAAATCCAACAAAAACGAAAAGAACCAAAATTAATATGCGCCGGCCCGGTGCGGCGCATAAATCAATTGGGAGAAAACCCAAACGCACAGCATCAATAAAACTAAATAGATACAAACATATATATGCTAATATATATGGGTATGCCTCTGCTTTTCAAGCGATTTGCATAGATTAAGGGCGCTGGGAGCTGGGAGCTGGGCTTCGGGAATCGGGAATTGAAAATTGAAAATCTCGCCCGGTTAGTGGCCGATGCGGTGGGTCAATGCCATGGCATGGCTTGGCTTGGCCTGGCCTGGCATATGAGAACGGTTAGCGCTGATAACGGGTCTTGCGCGCTGGCCCGCCATCCCCCTCGGTGGGGCAGGCCACTTTCTAGCGCTCCTTTTGGCTGAGCTGCTCTGGTCGCTGTTCGCTGCTCGCGCTTTAGTCTAATGATGTCAATTACATCGTGCCACTCGCATTGTGGGCAACAACAAATGCATGCCAGCTTATATGGCAGCAACAATGTGGCCAACAGCAGCAGCAGCAGCAGCAGCAGCCGCAACAACTAGCAACAAGTGTCTCGGAGTCGGCCTCGGTGGCTACAACTACAGCGACGTTTGGCTTCATTAAAATTGCTTTTCATTTTGGTCCACGACTCTCACACAGATACGTTTTGGGTTTTCTTGCACGGCTTGTTGGCTGAGCAGCCGCCGCACCACCAACAGCAAAATGGCCAAAAAATTTTAATGAGATTTAATGAAATTGTACGAGCGAGCGTGTGGCCGGCCATAGACAAGTTGCCAAGTAAAGGCCGCAGTGACCAATCGCAGCAATAACCGCAAGCAAAGATTTCATTTCATTTCAGCTCATTTCATTTCGGTTCGGTTCGGTTCGGCTTTGGCTCGCCACAGACACAAACAAAAGACTTAGGCAACGAACTTGAACAAATCCATTGCTCTTTCATGCACAGAACGAGCACAGCGCGAACTGAGCTACAATTTCAATTGCCTTGAGGCAACACACACACACACACACACACACACACACACACACAAACACACATACTTGATGCTCAACAAATTGATTGCTTTGTTAAAGTCTTTTTTCTTCTCTGCCTCTTCAAGTGCTTATCAAATAGTGCGCTTTGAAAAATATCACCAAATACTTAAGCACTCAAGCATAAGTAGCCGCACATAAATACTTTGTCGCCCCTCAGCGCGGAGCCCGCGCTGCTGCCGCTGCCACGGTGCATCCGCAGTGCGCTTCATGTTAATCAACTTGAAATTTATGGCTCAATTTTTTGGCTGTGCTTAAGCAAATTTTTTTTGGGGCTTGCAAAAGAAATTGTTGCGAAGAAAAACGAAAAAAAAAAAAAAAAATGGACAACAAGAAGAAGAACGTAACAAAATCACTTCACGTCACGCCCACGTTTCTGACTTAATGAGCCTGGGCTGGGCGGCAAAGGACAGCGGACGAGTAGCAAGGGCTGGGGGCAGAGGCAGGGGCAGGGGCAGGGGCATCCTTTTCACTTCGACTGTTTACGCCCAATTTGTCACACATTTCAACAGGTTGCGAGCAGGCATCATCAAAAAGCGAACGGTGATGAGGACGATGACGAAGACGATCAACGAGCCTCCTGCAAGCGGCGACTTGGCTCCAGCTTGCGAGGGGGCTGCCCGTGCTGGGGATGGGGCCTTCTCTCTCTCTCTCTCTCTCTCTGTCCAGCCTGGGTCGGGGTAGGCGTTGTCTTGCGGAATTTTCGGGCATGCCTCACGGGCGTCTGAAGCGTGAGGAATTTCTTTTTCGTCGTTTGCTGTTGCCTCCGCCTCAATCGTTGTTCTCTTCATTGTTGTTGTTGTTCTTGTTGTTGTTGCTGTCCTCTCTAAGTGAAAAATTATGCAAAAGTGTTTTATTTTAATAGCGGAAATCATTTATAGATGTTGTAATAAAGACCCAGATCGTTCGCCCGGGCTCTGCTTGCGCCAACCAATTCCATGTTTTGAGGTTCTCCGCTGCCGCCGTTGCCCAGGGCTGTCTCTTGTGTGCTCGTTGGACGACCGCCAACGAAGCAGCCAAAGCGCAACACTGTTGCCACCATTCTCTGATTCTCCGAGAGACTCGGCCTCAAGTTTATGAGGGTGGACGACTTCTAGTCCGCGTTATATTCAGGTGATAGTTGCCAGGGCTGCAATCAAGTTAACTTGAATGAAATGCATTGGGCATTGTATATTAGTATGTGCATATGTATATACATATATTGATATGAAGAATGCTTTGCTCTGATGACGCACAGTGTAAGTATGCTGTATGTGTATGTATATATATATATGTACACATATACACTGTGTGTCATCAGGGCAATGCTCTCTTTGAAAACTCCTTAATTTTCAATATTTTTAATATTTTAGTTAAAATCTTGAAACTTATTATTTAGTATACTCTGTTGTATATTAATTTAAATCAAGCTAAGGTTGAGTAACTATTTTTTTAAATTTAAAAATCCCTAAAGAGATTGCTAAATATTCCAATGTGAATATTTTGCTCAATAAGTCAACAAGAATATCAAACATATTGACGAATGTCTCAAAATTGATATTAGCACATATTATAATAAGATATGCAGTAGTGGAAATTCAAGATTCAAGTTTATTTCGTTTCTCGGCTATTTGAAGCAAAAATCGCTATAAAAGCTGACAAACACTGCAAAACTTTTATGTGTTTTCTCACACACACCTAATCGAAAGTCGAAATCAGTAGATTAGCAGACATTAGCTCTAAGACATTGTCTTGAATAATATAGTATAATAATAGTAGTATATAATACAACAATGAAATAACATGAAGGAAACTCTGTTTATATAGAGTATGCATTCGAATTCTTTAAGATGAGAGCTAAACCTTGCTGTGAGCATAAATGACTTTTATGCTTAAGGCAAAGTCTAATTCACATGCTCAAGTTTCAGTGCCGAGCAATTCCATATATTATAATTAACTGCTTTGGCTCTGGTGGCAGTGCGATTTCGATTCAAGTGCTAACAATGGCAATGCCAAAACCAAATAAAACAAACAAAATAACATTAAATTAGGCATTGAAAGTGAGATTTATGGCATCGTTGTGTGTGCCTAAGAGCCGCCATTTCCCGTATGACTTCATTTTTGCACGTGAAGCGCACGAGCAAAAAGAGCATCGGAGACCTGAACTCGATCGGCGCTCTGGCGGAGGCAATCAAAGAACGCTCCGCAATCGTCACAGCGCGCTTTGGTCGACTTGGGTTAATATGAGAGCAGGGCCATAAAAACGAGCGGACGGGGCACAATTATAAAGCCATTAATGTGGCTAAATTAGCTCATTTGTAATGAAACCGGGCTTCATAATCGTTAAAAAATGTATATGTACAAATAATGAGACAAATATTACAGTAAAAAAGACAAAATAAATGCCAAAAGGCGGCCGCACACACACACACACACACACACACACAGCGAAAAGAAATAGAGAAGAAAAAACAATCAAAGCAATAAAAGCGCAATTGATAAGCACTTTACGCCGATCTCATAAAGGCGGAACAAACAAAGTCGGCAACGTTTAATATCTGCCGTGATTGCGATTCTCCAGCGGAAACAGCCGGAGCGCAAGAGAAGCAGGCAAAATCAAAGAAATGGTCCATTAGACAGTGTTTAGAAAACTGGAATCTGAATGTCATTCGAGTAGCTGTTAGCATATGTGAATGTGTGTATGCAAATGGACTCTCTATGACATAATGTGGAATTAGAATATCGATGCCAAGCCCTTCTTGGGCATGGCATTAGGAGGCAACCGCAACGAGTTTTGTGTCGCCAGCTTCTTTGTGCGACTTGCGGCATTTCAGGTTTGTCGCCTAAGTCTTTTGTCATCGTGCGTAACATTTCAATTAATATTAATGCTAATGCTAATGCTAATGCTAATGCACAGCAAGAATGCGCACACATTCACCAATCTCGGCATATGGCTTCAGCTCAAGCTGCGGCTTCGGCATGGTGAGCGTGAAACCGAAGCCAAGCAGCTGGCAGCATCAATTTCCGCTGATTATGACAATGGAGATGGAATTGATTTGGCCAATTTTACATTGCGGCTGCTGGGCTGAGTTTTTTTTCCTCTTATTCTTTTTTTTTTTTTTTTAATTAAATTGGCTAATGTAAACTTTCTCTAAAAACGTCGATAGCTACTGCCGAACCCAATTAAATGATAACAAATTAAATACACAATGCACAGCCGCAGCCACAGCCTCGATCGACCATCCAGAATGAATGGGGAACTGGAATCGAGTCGAGTCGAGGACTGCGCACTGACTCAATGCTTGCGATACTGAGGCGCCGCTGGCGTGCTGAGCGGCGGAATTCGCACCGCGCTGCTGTGGCCACGGTGCCGCTGCTGGTGCGGACGACACGTCTCAGCTCTGGGAAATTTATGGCCACATTCAATTGTCAAGTTTATGTGACTGCGGCCAGGCCTAAATTTGCATAAGAGCCGTTGGTCAACAGCAGCAGCAGCAGCAGCAGGCAAACTTCTCTAGAATTCTCTTGTTGAGGCATTTGAAAGTTTTGTTTCACATATCTAGCTGCAGCGTCTCTCTCTCTCTCTTTCTCTCTCTCTCTCTCTCTCTCTCTCTCTCTCTCTCTCTCTCTCTCTCTATCTCTCTCTCAGTACAAGTCTTTGTTTCATTTTTATTTAACTCTGATCTTTGTTTTGTTTCTTACAGATCGCAGCATGCTGAAGGCGCATTGATGGTCCTTGCATACAAATGACGAATTATGAGAATCTTATAAATTTGCCATTAAATTTTAATGCAAATAATCATGCAAATAATAATGAGAACAATGGCAAAATTGCTGTTGGCGAGCAGCTATTGAATAAGATGTCGCAGCGGGACTTCTCCGAGGTGAGTCTGGGCATGGGACTTAGAGGCGAGTGTGAATAGAACTCAAAGCAAAGAAACGAGAGAAGTAGGTGGATTAACATGACTAAAGCCGGATCAGGGCAATTAAGAGTGCTATCAGTCAAGCACTGCAGTTGGCAATAACATAAACGTCGCTCTGCCTTTATCTCAATAGCCATTCACCGAGCGCTGATCATGTTTGCATGCATTTCAAGTTCCCAATTTATGCATCATGACAATTATTTATGGCCTTCATGGGAACTTAATCATCGAGTGCGCTTGAAAATTAAGACGGATAACAACTGCAACAGCTAAAATGAACAAGAAAACGAAAATCAGCAACAGCAAGAAAAAGAGAAGTGGATATAAAAAAAAATAAAAATGAAGAAGAAGAAACAATCAACGAAGCCAGCGCTAATAATCAAAAAGATGGCAAAATGATTTCAATGTTGATTAACTGAGCGGCGAGACAACAAAAGGTTTAAGCAACAGCAACAACAGGGACAACAACAACAACAACAATGAAACACACGCCAAATTAAACAAAGCGCAGAGATAAAAACGCCAAACACACAAACCCTTTTTCAGCTCCGACTACACCCTAGGCCCTTTCATCATATTCCGCGCTGTCATGTCATGGGCAACAGCGACGACAATGTCGAGACTTGGACTGGGACTGGGACTGGGATTGAAACTGAGGACGACAACGTCAACAATGTTGGATAAGTTTGTGGCGCATGTTTAGTTGCTGCCCGCTGCTGTCTCACTAGTTGTCCATTGTGTCCGTCCGTCCGTCCGTCTGTCTGGCTGATCCGCCTGGGCTGGCAGCCGAGCTGCTAGATGACAGCCAATTGAATCTGTGCATTTTGGGCTGCTCAGCTCAGCTCAGCTCAGCTCAGCTCAGCTCAGCTCAGTGGATAATATCTACATCTCGCCCTAAGCTCAGGCGACAGCAGCCGGATAACGACAGCACGGATAACACAGTAGGCCCGGGTCGGACGGGCCGTGAGTGCAAGAGCAACAGCTAATTATTTTATTACGCGTTAAATTGCAATAAAATTCTTGACTTGAGCGCAAAACATGCCAATGTGCGCCACAAGCAATCGTGAAATTGTTAGCATTCCAATGCGGCGACCTTATCGATGGGACCGGGGGATGGCACGGGAGCGGGCATGGGATGGGGTGAGTGCGGCGCGCTACTGGCTCAGATATTACTCTGGCCAGTTGGCACTTGCCGCCTGCCACAGCCCGCCCAGCACCACCCCGCAGCGCACCGCACCACCACTTCACGCACATTAACATCGACATGTGGTGCATGTGGCATGGCAGGCAACAACCTGAAGCCTGATCTGCTGCGGTTGCATCTTTGGGTGCTACTCCTCCCCACCCCTCCCCTGCTTGTACACTGTTGTCCGCCCAGGCAGCCAAAGCACGACCAGTTCTCCAGTTGATGCTTTTTTATTTTCTTTAAGCATTCCTGCTCTCTCGCTGACTCTCTCCTTAATCTCGCTCCTCCTCCTCTCTCTCTCTCTCTCTCTCTCTCTCTCTCTCTCTCTGTGTGTGTGTCTCTCTTGATACAAGATTCTTGACTATTTTTCTAAATAGAGAAGGCTCTTTGACTGGTGTTGCTGCTCTTGTTGTTGCTTTAGCTGGAATCGTTCGAGCAGGACAGCAGACGTATCAGCTTACATGACTGCTCTATGTGGCATTTGGGCGCCAATCCCTAAATTGATACACAGCACAGTTGAATGCAATGGGCTCGCAACTGTCCCTTTGACAAGCCAAGCAAAATGTTTATCCGCACAGTAAGTGCGGAAAAGTGTTCAAAAAAATAGAAAAGGACTATTCAAAAGTATGCCAGAGTCAGTCCTACAAAGATTTAAAATATATATATATATGTACTTATCATTTACTTAGATCAACTAAATTGGCTAATTGCTTGAGGATTATACACAGAACTTATCCAAATCTATCCGTGGCCTATTAAGTCTCTTTCTAAATCCAATAGAAATGCTAAACTAAGAGCCCCAACTTTGCCTGAGAAGTAGAATCTAGACAGCTGAGACTACTTTAAAGTTAATGTAGTTAAGAGTCCCTGGAAAGTTTTTGGCATGCAACAGACACATTATACAAATCGTTCTTAGTTTTGGTACGTTTGGCTTAGAAGATTTCTTTTAAGATTCAGCTTAGACTAAGGTTGGCTGATTTTGCTGAAGGTTCGCCTTGGCAGCAAGCAGAACAATAAAAGTCCAACCGATTCATAGACAGCTGTCTGGCTCGATTGTAATCTGAAGAGCATTTGCCGCTTATCCAAACTTATCCGGGGCACATCGTTTGGCTCGGATAAAGGCTAAGGCCCAACTCTTAGCTGTTAGGTACGCTCGCAGCGCGCTGCCAGTTATTATTTTTAGCTGGAACGATAATATCAGCTAATATGAAACGGCGCTCCCTTCCGCTCAGCTTGGCCTTAGACGACTGATCTCTGTTCGCTAGCCCGCTCCGTCCATCCGTCCGTCCGTCCGTTCGTCCGTCCGTTTGTCCGCCTGCCTTTGGGTTAGCCTGAGCATGTTGGATGCGTGTTTATTTGACTTTGACCATTGGGGCTGGCTGTCTTGGGCCAATCTGTTTGCTGTGATCTGCGCCAGCAACGCCAACGCTGTGCAAAAATTTCATTTTGCTAAGTTATGCGAGTGGTTTTTAAAGTTGTTCGACGTTTCTCTCCATCTCTCTCACACACACACACACACACTCTCACTCTCCCTCTCTCTCTCTCTCTAGTTTTGCGTGTATTTGCTTTTGTTTTTAGCTTTTGATTGTTTTGTTATATTCCGCTTCATCTTCTTCTTGTTGTTCATTGTAACGCCCACTCCATTTGGCTTATCGCCTGGCTGTGGACGGGGGCAGGGGACTGGACGGGACGGGACGGGACGGACACGAACACGGGCTTTAATGGTTGCATAAAACATAAATTTCGTTCTGCATCTGTCAGATACACTTTGTGGCTGCCACTTGTGTGAGTATCTATGTGCACGTACATCTGAATAGCTGCATGTATCGACGAGTTGATTTATTCGCATTAGCTGGACCCCAAAAATAAAAGAGAAACAAATGAAAGGAACTAGCAACAACAGCAGTCATAAGAAGACGAAGAAGAAGCAGATGAAGAACGGACAGCGCAAGCCAGCAGGCTAATCTAAGCACGTTATCCGTAGCCCACGCCCCAACTACCCCTTGCCACCCTGCTGCCACACGCTTCACTCTTCGACAACGGCACTTGGCACTTGGCACTTGGCATTTGGCACTTGCTGTGCACGTTTTCTAGGAAAGAGCTCAACGCTCTGCTCTCGCTTGGTTTTGGATTCGCCTTTACTGCGCTGCTGCGACTGTGGCTGTGCTAGTGCCAGTGGCTTTTGTGTCTTGAAGCTGGGCTAATGCATTTGCATACTCATTCCATTTAATTGCTTTGAAAATATGTAAAAACTCTACGCTCTTGTCACGGCCTCGTCCTCGTCCTCGTCCTCAACCTCAACCTTAGTGGCAGCCGCGCCGATCCCGTTGCCGTGTTGTGTTCGCAAAGGCTGGCCAGCCTGCTTGTCTTCGCCTGGCTTATGCCAAAAAAGGCTCAGAGAGTGAACACTTCGCCTGGCCAGTGGCTCCCTCCGTTGGCTGCACAGCTCTTGGGCCACGAATTCGTGGAATTGCTTCCGCATTTGACGAGCCGAGCTGCTGCGGCGGAACAGCAACTCGATGTTGGCTGCTCAGCATTCGCCAGTCGCCAGTTGGCAGTTGGCAGTTCACCGGGAAACGTGACTCAGTGCTCGCATACCTGTAGCCATGGATCTGAAGTGGAACTGCGACGGCGATTACAGTGGCGGCAATTTAACGTAATTACAGCCCAGTGCATGCAGGTAGAGGCAGAGGTAGAAGCAGGGATAGAAGCGGGAGCCGTGTGGCAAGTAGACAATGCGCAGTGGAGCACATCTAAACAGCGCTAAATATGCAAACAATATGGAAAGGATGTCCCCTAGGGATACCACAGAGGCACAGCTGGCAAACTCATGGAGTTTGTATGTATTATTATATAGCAGGCTCTCAAAACTATTTAGATCTACTCCAGCTACAATTCAATCAACCCAAACACATATACCTAATAACGCGTACCATGCTTCGCTTACAGAACGAGCCGGAGTGCACGCCGGAGCTGCCCGCTGCGAACCGAGCGCTCTTCTTGGAGAAGGTGCGCCAGTCGAACGCCGCCTGCCAGAGCGGCGACTTTGCCACCGCGGTGCTGCTCTACACGGACGCACTGCAGCTGGATCCGGGCAATCATATACTCTACAGCAACCGCTCGGCGGCGCGGCTCAAGCAGGGACAGTTCGCGGCGGCGCTGCAGGATGCGACGCAGGCGCGTGAGCTGTGCCCGCAGTGGCCCAAGGCGTACTTCCGACAAGGCGTGGCGCTGCAGTGCCTGGGCAGGTACGGCGAGGCGTTGGCCTCCTTTGCCGCCGGCCTGGCCCAGGAGCCGACCAACAAGCAGCTGCTGGCGGGCCTGGTGGAGGCCTCGCTGAAGAGTCCGCTGCGCGCCGCCCTGGAGCCGACGCTGCAGCAGCTGCGCGCCATGCAGCTGCACGAGTCGCCGTTCGTGGTCAGCTCCGTGGTGGGGCAGGAGCTGTTGCAGGCCTCGCAGTACCAGGCGGCGGTGGCCGTCCTGGAGGCGGCCCTGCGCATCGGCAGCTGCTCGCTGAAGCTGCGCGGCTCCGTCTTCAGTGCATTGAGCTCGGCGCACTGGGCGCTCAATCAGCTGGACCAGGCCATTGGGTACATGCAGCAGGATCTGGCGGTGGCCAAGTCCCTGGGCGACACGGCCGGTGAGTGCCGCGCCCACGGCAACCTCGGCTCCGCCTACTTCAGCCAGGGCGCCTACAAGGAGGCCCTCACCGCGCACCGCTACCAACTGGTGCTGGCCATGAAGTGCAAGGATACGCAGGCGGCCGCCTCGGCCCTCACCTCGCTCGGGCACGTGTACACGGCCAGCGGCGACTACCCCAACGCCCTGGCCTCCCACAAGCAGTGCGTGCAGCTGTTCAAGCAGCTCGGCGACCGGCTGCAGGAGGCGCGTGAGATCGGCAACGTGGGCGCCGTCTACCTGGCGCTGGGCGAGTGCGAGGCGGCCCTCGACTGCCACACGCAGCACCTGCGGCTGGCGCGCAAGCTCCACGATCAGGTGGAGGAGGCGCGCGCCTACTCCAACCTCGGCTCCGTCCACCATCAGCGGCGGCAGTTCGGCCAGGCGGCCGCCTGCCACGAGCAGGTGCTGCGCATAGCCCAGACCCTGGGCGACCGGAGCATCGAGGCGCGCGCCTACGCGGGACTGGGACATGCGGCGCGCTGCGCCGGCGATGCGGCCGCCTCGAAGCGCTGGCACGAGCGCCAGCTGGCCATGGCGCTGGCGGCACGCGACAAGCTGGGCGAGGGACGCGCCTGCTCCAACCTGGGCATCGTCTACCAGCTGCTGGGCGCCCACGACGCGGCGCTGAAGCTGCACCAGGCGCATCTGGGCATTGCGCGCGCCCTGGGCGACCGGGCGGGCATGGGGCGGGCCTACGGCAACATGGGCAACGCCCATGCGGCGGCCGGCGCCTACGAGGCGGCCGTCAAGTACCACAAGCAGGAGCTGGCCATCAGCCAGGCCGTCAACGACCGCAGCGCCGAGGCGGCCACCCACGGCAATCTGGCGGTGGCCTACCAGGCGCTGGGCGCCCACGATGCGGCCCTGGCGCACTACCGCGCTCACCTGGCCACCGCCCGCTCGCTGAAGGATGCGGCGGGCGAGGCCTGTGCGCTGCTCAATCTCGGCAACTGCCTCAGCGCTCGGCAGATGTACGCCGAGGCGGTGCCGCACTACGAGAGCTACCTGATGCTCGCCCAGGAGCTGGGCGACGTCGCTGCGGAGGGCAAGGCCTGCCACCTGCTGGGCTATGCCCACTACTGTCTGGGCAACTACCGGGCCGCCGTGCGCTACTACGATCAGGATCTGGCCCTGGCCAAGGACGCCCAGCACCGGCCGCACATGGGGCGCGCCTACTGCAATCTGGGCCTGGCCCACCTCGCGCTGGGACACACAGCCGCCGCCCTGGAGTGCCAGCAGCTCTTCCTGGCCGTGGCCCACGCAACGGGCCAGCTGCCGGCCAAGTTCCGGGCGCTGGGCAACATAGGCGACATCCTCATCCGCACCGGGGCCCACGAGGAGGCCATCAAGCTGTACCAGCGCCAGCTGTCGCTGGCCAGGTCGGCCGGCGAGCGCGCCATGGAGGCGGCCGCCTGCGGAGCTCTGGGCTTGGCGCACCGCCTCCTGCGGCGCTGGGACAAGGCGTTGGGGCATCACACGCAAGAGCTGACGCTGCGCCAGGAGCTGGGCGATCTGGCCGGCGAGTGTCGCGCCCATGGACATCTGGGCGCCGTGCACATGGCGCTCTGCAGCTGGACGCACGCCGTCAAGTGCTACCAGGAGCAGCTGGAGCGCGCCCAGGAGCAACGGGACGCAGCTGTCGAGGCACAGGCGCACGGGAATCTGGGCATTGCTCGACTCAACATGGCACACTATGAGGCGGCCATTGGCTGCCTGGAGGCGCAGCTGGGCACCTTGGAGCGCGTCTCGCTGCCCTCGACGCAAGCGGATCGCGCCCGGGCGCTGGGCCACCTGGGCGATTGCTATGCCGCCCTGGGCGACTACGAGGAGGCGCTAAAGTGCCACGAGCGGCAGCTGCAGCTGGCGCTGGGCCTGGCCAGCCATCGGGATCAGGAGCGCGCCTATCGCGGCCTCGGACAGGCGCGACGCGCCCTCGGCCAGCTCTCGGCGGCGCTGGTCTGCCTGGAGAAGCGTCTGGTCGTCGCCCACGAGCTGCACAGCCCCGAGATCAAGGCGCTCGCCTATGGCGACCTGGGCCATGTCCACGCAGCGCTCGGCAATCATGCCCAGGCGCTGAACTGCTTGGAGCATCAGCGGGAGCTGGCGCGCGGCCTGCAGGATCGCGCCCTCGAATCGGATGCGATGTGCGCCCTGGGACAGGTGCAGCAGCGCATGGGACACTACGCGGAGGCGCTGCAGCTGCACGAGCAGGATCTGCAGCTCTGCACGGAGCTGGCGGCGCCGGCCTTGCAGGCGCGCGCCGTGGGCAATCTGGGCGCCGTTCACGAGGCGCTGGGACAGCAGCAGGAGGCGCTCAAGTGCTACGAGCGCCAGCTGGCGCTCAGCACCGATCGACTGGGCAAGGCGCTGGCCTGCGGCGCCCTGGGGCGGGTGCACCACCAGCTGGAGCAGCATGCACAGGCGGTGGAGTACCTGCGGCAGGGATTAGCCAGTGCGCAGTCCATTGGCAAGTCAGAGGAGGAGGCCAAGATAAGACATCAACTGGGTAAGTGATGCGGCTGAGATCGCTCGCTTTCTCTCTCTCTCTGCCTCTCTCTCTCTCTCTCTCTGTCTGAGCCCTGTCTTTGGAGCATTATGATGTAGCATATAGTAGATAAGAACGAGTTGAGTTGATCTAGGAATATCCTTTCGTAGCAGAGCTGAATCAACCCTCAACCGGGTCCAGGCAACCATCAATTTGGGGGTAGCTTTCTTCACTTTTTTTCGATTTTAAAAGAATCTTTCATACTTTCGTTTGCATACCTTCTAATCCGCCCCTTGACCGCACGTCGAATGTGTGAACGCGTCGATCTCAGCATCCATAAGAATGAGAGACTTGAATGTTTTTTTATAGCTCCTTGTATAGCAAGCGCAGATGGAGTTTATTTTCCAAGAGCCAATAACTATCGGTGTTTACTTTTATGTAAAAAGCAAATCGAAATCCATTTATAAAATTCGATTTTTTATTAGAGTTTGGATACCAGCTTAAAATGCCCATTCTCTCCCATTCCCACAAATTAGCACAAATATCAGAATTATACATACATATGAATGGCTTTATCACATTCTTAAAGTTTGATATGATAAGTCCATTTTGTTAACAGTTATTGAGCAAATAGTTGCCTATAGTAGAGCCCCTAACAGCATGTATAGAAGAAGCGTAAAAGTATTGGTGTATAAGCTCTTGAGAGTAGTCTCAACTAAATGATTTTCACTTGTCATGCTCTGTGCTAACTCTCTCTCTCTCTTCCTCACTCACTCTCCTCTTCTGCAGGTCTTGCTCTGCGTTCCTCTGGCGACGCTGAGGGCGCTCGCATACAACTGGAAACGGCGGCACAGCTGCTGGAGTCCGTACGGCAGGAGCAGCGCAGCCCGGAGGCGCGTCTCGCCCTCTACGAGCTGCAGACGAGCTGCTACCATCTGCTGCAGCAGCTGCTCGTGGCGCTGCAGCGCAGCGAGGATGCACTGGTCGCTGCCGAGCGCTGCAAGGCGCGCAACGGCGCCGACGCTGCAGTCGGCTGTGATGGAAAGGGCACTGGGACAACGGCGAACGGCACGGCGGACATCGAGGCCATTCTGGAGGCAGTGAATCGGGGCCGCATGCCCGTGCTCTACTACAGCCTGGCCGGGGAGCAGCTCTATGCGTGGCTGCTGCAGCCACAGGCGGGCATTGTGCGCTTCCATGCGGCGCGCATCGATGCGCAGACGCTGCAGCTGCCGCTGTCGCTCAGCGAGTGCCATGAGGAGGAGGAGGAGGACGAGCAGCAGTCGGAGCAGCAGAAGCAGCAGCGTGAGGACGATTCTGAACCAGCGGGCCAGCAGCTGCTGGAGCGCTATGTGAACATGGTGCGCGACAATCTGGGCGTCAACTCGCAGAACCTGCTGCACGAGGGCGACGGCAGTGGATGGCGCGCCAGCAGCGAGCAGCTGCTGGAGGATCTGCCCGGAGCAGGGGCCGGCGGTGGCGGCTTTCTGCGCATGGTCAGTCGCAATCAGCTGCTGAACTCGTCCAACTACTCGCTCAGCTCGCTCTTCTCGCTGGGCTCCGTGGCCAGCCTCCAGGGCTCCACACGGTCGGTGGGCAGCCGCAGCTCCCGGCGAGCACCCGCGCCGCCCGCCTGGCGCGGCCCCGCCTGCCTGCACACGCTCTACAACCTGCTGCTGGCGCCCTTCGACGATCTGCTGCCCAGTGGCGCCAGCGTCTCGCGGCAGGGCAGACGCGAGCTCATCCTGGTGCTGGACAGCGCCCTCTACCTGGTGCCATTCGCCATATTGCGCGCAGCCGGCGACGACGGCGAGTATCTCTCGGAGCGCTGCGCTCTGCTAACGGCGCCCTCGCTGCAGGCGCTGCGCGGCCGTTCCAGGAGCCGGCGCGATCGTGGACGCCCGCCCACGGCGTTGGTCGTCGGCGGACCACGCGTGCCCGCCGCCTTGGCGGAGCGCTGGGGCTGGGCGGGCGCCGAGTCACCGGCGGCATTGCAGGAGGCCGCCATGGTGGCGGACATGCTGCAGGCCAATGCTCTGGCCGGCTGCAATGCCACCAAGGAGTCGGTGCTGGCCGAGCTGCCCGGCGCCGAGTGCGTGCACTTTGCCGCCAATCTCAGCTGGAAACTGGGCGCGGTGGTGCTCAGCCCAGGCGATGTGGTCACCGCCGAGCAGCAGCAGCAGAAGGAGCCGCACGAGCCGCAGCTCTCGGACTTCACACTGGCCGCCTCGGAGCTGCGCCACCTGCGCCTCGGCGCCCGCCTGGTCGTGCTCAGCTCCTACCAATCAGTGGAGCCCATAACGGGCAGCGGCGTTGCCCAACTGGCCGGCGGCTGGCTCCTGGCCGGCGCCGGCGCAGTGCTCATCTCGCTCTGGCCCGTGCCCGAGACGGCAGCCAAAATCCTGCTGCGCGCCTTCTACTCGGCCCTGCTGCAGGGTGCACGAGCGGCACGGTAAGTTCAATTATTGATTTATTTACATATTTTTAGTATTTTATTTATTCTTCCTATAAAAATATTATGTTTTTCTCATATATTTTTTATTTATATATATAGTTGTTTATTTAATTATTTATTTTCAATATTCAGATTATTAATTCTTATAATATTATGTTTTTCTCATATTTTATTTATTTATATATTTAGCTATTTATTTCATTATTTATTTTCAATATTCAATTCTCATAATATTATTTTTTTCTTATAGCTTACTATTTTCCAAATATAATTATTTATGTTCCTTATCTGATTTGGACTCAACGTTTTTTTTTATATTTTAATTTTAATTTATTTTTTATTTTTTGTTAATATCTGACTCATTTACTATTGTATGTTTTTCTTATTATTACATAATTTATTTTATAATATTTTTTTATTCGCCATATTAAGTTTTGATTATTTATTTTATTTTTTTATTTACTTAAATCATTATTTTTCAATATTTCTTATTCATTTCCTATATTCTTGTTTTATTTAAAGCTTTTTCTTTTATTTATTTAATAATTTATTTTTCAGTACATAAATTATTGCTCATAATATTAGGTTTAGTTTGGATTTTTTTTTTATTTATTTAATTATTTATTTTGAAAATTTGATTAATTTTCCGTATTTTAATGTTTTATTTAATACGATTTATAATCTCTATCCAAATAATTTGTTTTTCAATATTTTATTTATTACTCATTATTATTTTATGTATTTATTTAAGTAATTATCTTCAATACCTTATCTATTTCCCCATATTTTTATGTTATTTATTTATTTATTTAATAATTTATTTTTAAATATTTTACTTATATTTTATATTATTATGTTTCGCTTATAGCATATATTTTTCTTATTTAATTATTTTTGATTTATATTTTATTTATTTGAATGATTAAGTATTTATTTTATTCTGTCGCCCTCACAGCGCCTTGGCCGAGGCCATGCAGACGGTGCAGCACACAAAGCACTTCGCCCATCCCGCCAACTGGGCCGGCTTCCTGCTGGTGGGCGCCAATGTGCGTCTGTCGAACAAGGTGGCTCTGTTGGGCCACGCCCTGTGCGAGCTGCTGCGCACGCCGGAGCGCTGCCGGGATGCGCTGCGCGTGTGCCTGCATCTGGTGGAGAAGAGTCTGCAGCGGATACATCGCGGCCAGAAGAACGCCATGTACACCACCCAGCAGAGCATTGAGAACAAAGCCGGGCCGGTGGCCGGCTGGAAGGATCTGCTAATGGCCGTCGGCTTTCGCTTTGAGCCGGCCGCGAATGGGATACCCTCGAGCGTGTTCTTCCCGCAAACGGACCCGGAGGAGCGACTCTCGCAGTGCTCGGCCAGCCTGCAGGCGCTGCTGGCCCTGACGCCCGCCACGCTGCAGGCGCTGGCCAAGCTGGTGAACAGTGCGGAGCACGCGGATGACATTATAGCCGTCGTGCGCAACATCCTGGCCCAGTTCCCGGCCAAGCCGGAGGCCGAGGCCTGCATCGAGATGCCGTTGAGCGTGCGGCTGTGGCGCGTGGCCGGCTGCCACGAGCTGCTCGCCTCGGTGGGCTTCGACCTGACGGAGGTGGGCGCGGACCAGGTCATCTTGCGCACCGGCAAGCAGGCCAATCGCCGTCACTGCCAGTTCGTGCTGCAGGCGCTGCTCGCGCTCTTCGGTAAGCTAAGCGGATCGGCCATTGGCGCCACTCAGCTGACACTCAACTGCTTCTCCCCATCCTTTGCAGATACCCATGAGGCGCCCAAGAGCCTCAGCCTGGACTCGTCCGCCCACAGCAGCAGCAGCAGCTGCGAGTCCCTGGCGGAGCCGGAGCTCACCACGCCACCCGTGCAGCCGGCCGCCTCGAATGGGAACAGCTCCACGCCGGCCACGGCCACCAGCTCCACGCAGTCGCCGCTGCCGCTGCATCCGCGCAGCGCCTTCATCTCGTACGTGCGGCGCCGCGGCGAACCGGATGGCGGCGGCGGCCTGGACTCCAGCCTGGCCAACACCACGGACAGCGAGCACTCGCTCTCCGACGGCTATGCCACCCAGGCGGGCAACAGCCAGCCGGCCCCGCGCCTGGGCTATGCCAGCCTGCGCGGTCCGGTGCGCGTCTCGCGGCCCGGCGGCGGCGGCGAGAGCGATGCGGCCTTCACGCCCAGTCCGCCGGTGACCGATCCCAGCCTATCGCTGGCCTTGGCTCACCAGACGCGCATCCGCTGCCTGTACGCCCAGCCGAGCGCAGTTGCTCCCTCGACTGCGCCGCTGCCCAATACGAGCCGACGACCCGACAGCTCCAGCTCAGCCAGCAGCACGACCACGGACTGGGAGGGCTCCGGGCATGCAACAGTGCTGCGCCGTGGAGCCGCTGCTGGCGCCCAACAGCAGCATCAGCAGCAACAGCAACTGGCGACGCAACAGCAGCAGCAGCAACCGCCGCTGCCGCCGCCCCGCCCACCCGTCTATCATAATTTGGGCGCGGGCGGACGCAGCAAGCCGAAGATCAAGCTGGGCAGCGCGCAGAGCTCGCTGGCGGCACGAGTGAACAAGGAGCACGCTCTATTCATGGACAGACTGAGCGTGCGCACCGAGCTGAATGCTCCAGCGGTGGCCCATGGAGCAGCGGGCGGAGTGGGTGGCGTCGCCGGCAGCGGTGTGGCAGTGGCCGGTGGAGGACAGCGCAAGACGCTGACGCTGACGGAGGAGGAGGCTGCCAGCGTGGCCTTCAATCCGTCCAGCCTGTACTTCTCGCCGGCCGACAGCGAGCTGCTGGGCGAGCCCAAGCAGCCGATGGAGGAGACGCCGGTGAAGCCGAGCGCCAAGTGCATCCAGGACAGCATCATGCGGCACATGAATCGTGAGCTAACGCCCAGCATCTCGGAGCTGTACCATGAGCGCAACTTGGGCCTGGGCCTGGCGCCGCCGCTCTCCAAGCTGCTGCTCAATCCCAACTACGAGGAGCAGGAGGTGACCGCCATGGTCGAGGCCAACAATCCATCCGCTGGCAATGCGGCCGCCATCAAAACCCTCGTGGATGCAGTCAACGAGCTGGAGCTGAGCGGCAGCTCCTCCGGCGCCACAATACCAACCGTGGTCGGTGGCGGCGTCGGCGGTGGCGAATCGGAAACCAATCCAGTCTCCGGCGTCGTCGACACCGAACGCTTCTGCTCCATCTGCGGCGAGCACGCAGACGTTGTCTGCCGCTGCAAGGCGGCCACCATGCAGAAGAAGTCCACCCTGAAGCCCTGGCTGAGCAATGTGCCCGCCAGCAGCCTCGTCCAGGCCAGCGAGCTGACCACCGCGGACATACTGGAGCGCCGTCTGGAGACGGTGGCAGCCACCAGTGCTGCCCCCTTCACCGCCGAGCTCTGTCGCCGCGACGAGGGCGACGGTCGCTCCGTGGCCGACTCCCAGTGCAGCAGCAACTACAAACGCGTCCTGGCCACCGCCGGCGCCGTCGGCCTGGTGGTTGGCATCGGCGCTGGCGATGCGGAGGCCCAGAACACGACATCTCCGGCCACCTGCTCAGCGGCGCGACTCGTCTAGATGCCAGAGATACCCCAACCCACCACTTGCCACATGCCACATGCCACATTCCGCTCTTCAACTGATATTAGATTCTAGCGTACATCTATCTATAGGCTTAATCGGAGACACCCTGTACTGATCATCGTAGCGTTAGTTATTGCATTTTATTTATTTATTTATACAGAATATGCGTCAGCATTAGCTTAATAGGGCCTGCTTAGACACACACACCCACACACACACACACACATGCGTTCTGGCATTTGTAATTTGTAATGTTTCAACGAAGCCACAGACTAAATTTTATGCATTTATGTGAAACGTATCTTAGTAGAATCCATTTGTATAGTTCAGCGGAGATATCTATGATTAAGTGCAAATAAATATGAATTTACATTGAAGTTGTTCTACTGTTAACCAACTGTTATACGATGGTCATACCAATGTTATACAGCTCTCGCATGAGTAAAGTGTGACTGTTATACGCTGAAGGAAACTATTAGTGAATTCGACAAAAAAAAAAAACGATTAATTCTGTCATACAGTTTTCATACATTTGATATACGGCTGTTATACGTTGAAAGCTAAAGTGAATGATTTAAATGCGGACTTCAAACTAATTATGAGAGGAATAAGCGTATGCCTTCAATGTATAACAGTAGAAATAGCAGTATAACAGCCGAATTCTCCAATACTGCTCTCGCTCAACTGTCATATGATTGTTCCTCAAATAGCCCTTAGAAACGATGATATGGCACACTGTTATACAGATTTGTAGAGCTTGTAGAACTCTCCTGCAACTGGTATACAATGAAAGCTAAATCATATGCCTCAAATATGATTTAACCACATATAGCAGTACTGTATAGCAGTGTGTTATACAACTGTCATACAGCTTTCATAAAGCGGAAATACAGATCTAACTTTCCGTCGCGTACAACTATCACTGACCAGGCTGCGACCTCAGCTGTCAGACATAGCCCTGGCATGAATTATTGCAAGCATGTGCAAAAATCTCACCGAGAAAAACATCGAAAAAATTAAAAATACATTCCACACAAACAAGCCGAGTCGAAGAGTTCGACGAGCAGCCAGCAGAATGAAAGCAGACGAGTATGATTTATTGCTAATATACTAAGTATGCTTGGGCCTTGCGTGAACCTTGATTAGCACAGTGAAGAGTGGCTATGACACACCGAGCTCAGCACCGACACGCGAACCTCATGCAAGGGGGGCACACTGTGCGTGCCTGCCAAAGATCTGGCGTTGACCCTCTTTTCCCAGCTGCCGGCAAACCGATTGACGCTTCTCGAATTGCATCAACATCGTGATTCTCGCTTTGCTGCTCCGCCTGTGAGTGAGCCGCGTGCGCTGCTGGCCTTTGACCCGTGCGTGTGATCTCTCGTTAATATCAGCGCGCACGTATTTATGACCATCTAATGAGGCATGCCGCATTCATTAAAGTGATTGATATGGCTATGGCAGCGAAACGAACCCGAAAATTAGCAAAACTCATTTATAGACTTGACAGTCGAAACTGTTATACGTATTTATAAATAGATGTTTTTGTCTTTGAGTGTTAATTTGATTATTAATGAATTAATTATTTATTTGATTCACTTTAATCTATTTACTTATCAATGCTGATTACCAGAATACAAAAATATCTACATATACCATATTATACAATACATACATATATGTAATTATATTATATTACATATTTTTGAGCTGGAAATCACAAATTTAGATCTTTGGCTGTCAATTGAATCGATTGCTTCAATAACTTATCTATTATTGTACCTTGGCAGGCAGTTGAGTAATCAAAATAAAAATAGTCCGCTTTTATACGAAAATGTCTGACTGGAGGATACCCTAACCCTTCCTTTGCATACTGCATGAAGAAATACCAATAATAATGGTATATAGAGCATATACTTATTAGGCCTTTATGTTGATATGCAGATGTGTATATTTAATTATCAATTTTCTACACTTATTGGTTTATGAGATTGGATCAATACTCTATAGAACCCGTAACGCCTCCTTTTGCCTATTATATACATTTTCTACTTTCAGAGTATTATACTCTGAAATCCCACTTACAATATCTATAGGGTATAAGCAACTACTATTAATATACTCTTATTGCAGTCGATCGATTCATACTTGGGCGTTTAATGGATGCTATTTGAGTTTGCATCCCAATCTATATTCAGTGCCGTTGCGTTTCAATGGTGAACGACAACAACATCGTATACAAATATTATGAAACATTTCCATTGACTTCAACACCCCAAATATGTACCTATTTAATATTGCTCGGACACACTTCGTATTGTTTGCAACAACACAGCACAACAAACGATAAGAAAATGGGCATTCTAAAGAGAACTGAATACTATACTAATTAAATGAATACAAATAAATATTTATTCTCTCAAACTATGAATTTGACTCTGGTTTCATATTAATTTCGAGCTTAATTAATAATTTCGTTACGATATTCTGTCGTCTAGTGTACTCGGTGGCTGGGGGCACGTGTCTATTAATTGATAAGATTTATTGACGCCCAGCACTCGATCGTTACAACTTGACCTTTTTTTATGATCACAATCGTGCCAGCGTCGTACTGCGTCGCAGGGTAACAACGAGCCCCTCGCCCAGGCAGCCCGGCCGTGGAACAGCACGGAATCACGCACAGAATCCGGAGACGGACACCGACGTCATTTCATATGGTGTGTGCCGCTTCGGCTGACTGATAACTTTTCTCTGGGCAATCCCCCCCTTGATGGCACATTAATTTCGCGTTCGATGACGATGTACCCAGATTAGACGGCATTATTGCGATTTCGGCGTTACGCCGGAACGCTCGAATCTGGAGCGCTTGCCCTTGCCTGCGATTTGCTCAAGGCCAAAAGCTATCGTAGTCCATGGCATTCGAGGCTCATAATAACAGCAAAACTAAATAAATACATTTCAAGCGAAACCAGAACATCTCAGAGTTACACCAAATAGTCTATGAGATAATACTAAAAAATTTAAAAACGTAATAATTAGATATGAAAAATAATAGACTAATAACAACAAAATGTGAGCGGCTAATCAGTTTATAGATTTACTACCCAAAGTCAAAGTGATCTTGGAAGATTCCATTAAATTGGAATTAACGCTAAACAGGCTTATCTAATCTTGTAAGCCCTTATGCAATTGTCTCACCTCTACTAAACTAAAGTTCCTAACTCATACCATATCTATACTAGACATAAAATAAAAATTACGACGTAGGCTTATTTCAAAATCAACGTAATTTAAAGGCAGACAAACAAACAATAAAACTAGAAATCAACAAAAATAAACAAAAAATTGAATTTTCGTAAATAATAAATACTCACATATATAATATATTATATGAATAAATGTTCACAAAAAGTAATATAACTCTTTCTCAAAAGAAACTATGTTAATAAGCTTAGAGCAGTTTCGCGTAATAAAATTTGATATATTGGTTTCAATTTGAACGGACTTGCACTTGCTCCAGTTAAAATTCTTATCGGTCAAGTGCAGCCTTTAGTTGAATATAGTATATACAAAATAATATATGTACATAAATATTAAATATATAAATTATATATATGCTATATATATAGAGACAGATAAGCGAGCACGTGTTAAGGCAATGCTCGAGTCGCGGATATGGCTCAGACTTGAGCTTCAGATATATAACTTTGGGCATGCACTTACGGGACTTCATGCAGCCGGAACGTTGAGTGAGCCCGAATCAGACGTATTTCCTACAGCCACAACTTCTATGGGCGATGATTTAAGTGGGGTCCCACATTGATAACTGATTAGGTATATATATTATATATATGTATATATAAATTTATGTGAGTGTATTTGCTTTGAATAACAACAAAAGTGCTATAAATCATATAGTATACCATAGAAGTACTGTATGTACCCCAGATGAGAGCAACATATAGCTCGGTGATCTATAAAAGTGTGCGCCCGGACTAGCTGGCGATTCAATAGCATCTTGTTCGGCCAGCCGTACGGTACTTGGAGCCGACAATTTGAACTTTATTAGTTTTTCGAGCAGTTTCTATTGTTTCGAAAATGAGAATCTTAAAAGAGGTAGTATAACTTAGAATCGGAGTAGTGTTTGCTTCTATTGAAATACTTTTATCTCATTTTCTCTCTCTCTCTCTCTATGTTCTTGCTTAGCATGAAATCTTCTTTCTGGATCCTTCGGAGCTGCTGCGGCCGGAGCCCACATTTGCCGATAAGAGTCCATCGCAGTTTCGAGACTACAGCGTCGATACCGAGGACCCGCTCAAGGAACGCGTGCGCCGCACTTACCGTGAGATGCACCTAAACCAAACTGTGGACTTCGTTATGGGTAATTGCGATCCTTAACTGCATCGCAAGTCATTATTCAAGCATTGTTTCCTTGCACAGGACGTCGTGAGCACTGGCTGAAGTTCAACACCATTAAGATGACGGTGCGTGAGGCATTGGAGAAGCTCAATGATTTGGTGGACGAGTCCGATCCTGATTTGGATTTGCCCAATATCATACACGCCTTCCAGGCAGCCGAGAGGGCACGCTCCGAGTTCCCCGAACACGATTGGCTTCACTTGACGGCGCTGATCCACGACCTGGGCAAGATCATGGCCTTCTACAATGAGCCCCAGTGGGCCGTTGTGGGCGACACCTTTGTGGTGGGCTGTCGCTGGGGCGACAGCATTGTCTATCGCAACGATAGCTTTGTGGGCAATCCCGATGGCGACAATCCCAACTACAACACTGAGTACGGCATGTACGAGCCGAACTGTGGCATCGACAATCTGCTCATGTCCTGGGGCCACGATGAGTACATGTACTCAGTGCTCAAGCACAACAAGACCAAGTTGCCCGATGTGGCCTGCAATATAATACGCTTCCATTCGTTCTATCCCTGGCACAATGGCGGCGACTACAAGCACCTGGAGGCGCCAAAGGACGCAGAGACCAGGAAATGGGTCTTGATTTTCAAGTGAGTCGAATAGTTACATTAAGCTATTAATATATACATTACTATATTGGTAAAATTTGTTCTGCCCACAGCCGTTACGATCTCTACACAAAGAGTGAGGTGGTACCCGATATTGAAGCTCTATGGCCCTACTACCAAACACTTATTGATAAATATTTGCCTGGCGTCTTGGAGTTTTAGAGCTGTCCCTGTAAATTGTGTACATTCAATCAGATATACATATATACAGTTTACTATTACTATTAACTATATTAACTACTTTGTAATTCCCCCTACTACTACTATTATAAGAAAGCCTTCATATACTATACCAAATCTACAACGAATGTTGCTTATGATAATGCAATGCATTGTATCTATAACTAATCTCCAAAAAATACATACGTTAGCTATATGCATAGAACAACTATTATAATATAAAGATTTTTTCCTAGAGGACTTTTCTTTTTCTTTACTTATAATCAACGAAATGATGCAACAGACCTCGAGCAAGTACTTAGAACTCCAGAGTCTTTAACACATTTCCCTTTAGTCCATGTTTGGTTATCCTTCCAATAAGATAGTCTCCAACTTAGCAAAATATCTGAACTCATGTGAACAATTTTGTTTTTATCTTACTCTCAAATTTTATTATTGACGACCAATACCGCCATCAAAACAATTGCTGAACATTAAAAAAAAAGAAGGAAATGTACACTCATTAGAACTTAGACCCTAGTATACTTAAGACAATGACACAGTTCATGGGGAAGCGGAGCCGCAGCTGCTGCGTCGGCGTCGTTTGTGCCGCTTGTGACTCTTTTTGGCCGGATGGCGCTGATGATTTCTTCGCCGCGATGCGCTTTCCTCCTTATCCCGATGATGATGATCACGATGACGACGTGAGTCCGAATGGCTGCTGCTACGACTGCGACTGCGACTACGACTGCGCGTCAAACTGCGACTGCGACTGTGACTGCGACTGTGACTGTGACTGCAACTTCGACTGCGACTTCGACTTCGACTGTGTCGACGACGTTTATGTTTTGCTATGGAGCTAGCTTTGCGGCTGTGCCGCTGCCGATGCAAGCTACGACTACGACTGCGTCGGCTGGCACTGCTGCTGGATGAGGTCACTGAAGCATCATGGGATGTGGAGCTGCTGCTGCGCCTGCTGCGACTCCGACTCCGACTCCGAATCCGAATCCGACGGCCCGTCTTACGATGCCGCACACCCAATGATGATGACACCAGCTGCACATCATCGTCATCGGAAAGCAGAACGGACGCTGTTGCTGCAGCAGCAGTCGGCACTGCCTTGCTGGTGAACGTATTGGTGCTATCATCGTTTAGCAGATTGTATTTCTCCAAATCCCCGTCGTCGTCATCATCGTCGTGCATGCGCGAGCTCTTTTGCGCCCCGACATCATTTTCGTCATCGTCGTCGTCATCCTCATCAGGTCCAAAGTAAGTGATGGGTATGGAGCGTACCGAGTCGTTGGAGTCAGTATTTACGCTGTCAGCTGTCACAACCGATTCATTATTTGATGCAGCTGTCGCATCCGATCCAATTGCCTTGCCAATGGCACTGCCCTCAGCTAAATGCCAACACAGAGTTATAGACGTGGGTATTACATTTTCTATTGCTAACTCACATTTAATTTGATTGAGAAATGCCATGGCCTTGCGCTTGCGTTCCAGCTGCAGTTGCTTCTCGCGCGAGACCATGCCATTCAGCTTGTCTCGCGCGATCTGCGCCAGCTTATCCTTTACACGCTCCTCAGCTGTAGTGGAGAACGAAATTAAATCACAAATCAGTGTCTCTCTCTCTCTCTTTTACTCGCCATCTCTTTCTAATTGATTCGATAGCCCATACACACCTTGACGTTGCTCTTTGAGTGGAGATGGCGTTGTTGCTGCCAAGCCTGCTGTTGCGCTTTTTGACCCGCCCGTTCTAGCTAGCAACTGCGTCTCCACTTGCTTGATGGCACGTTGCACGCTGTCCGGCATGCCCGGCCGCACTTGCTCGGCACTCGATTTGGCCTTTTGCTCATCCTCATCGCTGACTTCCTGCGGCAGTGCCGGGTGCAGGGCTGTGTTCTCATCTCGGGCACGTATAGCGAAGCTAACGTGCGCTGCAAGAGAGAAATTGTGCAAATGAGATGGATTTCTATATATATAGAGCAACATACGCACCCTTCTCACTAGTGCTGGCAGCAGCAGCAGCTGTGCCGCCGCCCAGACCTTTTTTGCTGATCAGTGCAGCGGCCACAGCAGCTGCCTTGCGAGTCTTCTCCTCCTTGGAAGCGGCGTCCACGTCGCCAGTTATTTTGTACATATAATACGCATAGTACTTGTGCTCTGGAAGCAAGAAACTGAAGCGTTCGACGCTCTTGGTGCGCAACGTCTCCTCGAACTGGCGGCCATTCTTAATGACATAGGTGGCCGTCTTGTCTATGATATGACGCAGCGTCTCTTCGGGCATTGGAAAAGTTAGCAACGGTGGTGGTGCCAGCACCGCAGCGGGTTTCGTAGTGGCGCTCGTTGTAGTGGTGCTGGTCGTAGTGGTGCTGCTGCTGCTGCTCGTAGCGTCTGATTGTGTGGATCGTTGTGACCGTTGCTCAGCTGTGTCATCGTTCTCATCCTCCTCTTCGTCACTGTCCGAACTGTAGTTTTGAGCTAGGGCCAGTGCGCTGGTGTTCTTCAATAGCTCCACCTTGGGCGGCGCATCGTTGGCGTTGTCCTCCTCCGCTTCGTGGGCAAATGTGCTACCATTGTACTGGAGCAGGACAGGCGTAAACTCGCCATTGGATGCTGTGGCGGTAGTGCTGCTTTGGCTGTGGCACTCTGACTTGGCGCTGGGCGTTGGAGAGGCAGTTCCGGCGGAATGCTGTGATGCGGCGTCATCGTCTAGAACTGTCTGAAGCGGCACCCCTTTGATTTTGCTAATGAGTTGTGTGTAGGCGCAATTGGCCGACGGTTTGTATTTGATGGTGGGCACCGTAATAACTTGCTGACTGCGCTTCGGACTTTCGGATGCCGCGTTGGCGTCGCTTGTGCCGTTGCCTTTGTCCAGTGGGGTCTGCACAGAAGCCGCGAACTTGCCCTGCTTGATGGCGGCCAGCAGATGGCGATAATATGGCTGCAGCAGACTGCCCTGCGACAGGAAGTCAAACTGTGCATTGTTGGCCTGCTTGGCTTTAATTAGGATCTCCATCTGAGCGCCCTGGGTGGCAATGAATCGTGCCGTCTTCTCAATAATCGCATGCTGTTTCATTGTCTCCGGCTGTCCGATGAGGGTAGAGATGAGTTAGAATATATAATGTAATCATATTCGACTATTGCCGGCTTACCAGCTGCATGCCCGGAGCGGGCGGTACGAGAAGAGTGGGTGGCAGTGTGTAGGGCAACTCGGATTCCTCAGTGAGTGTCGAGGACTCCGATGTTGGCGAGGTTGCATTGTCAGCACCGGATGAGCTGCATGTGGACTGGCCATCGTAATGGAAGTCTACTTGGCTATAGTTGCCGCCCGATGTCTCCTGCTGCAGGCGCTTCAGATCCTCCTCTGTAGGTGAGTGTATGTTCATGATGATTGCGGTTGTGTGAGTGTGTGCGTGAGTATCGGCGTGTGTCAGTGTGGCAATATGAGCATATGAGTGTTGGCAAAAATAAGAAAACACAAGACAACGTCGTGACTTTAGTACAACAATACCAGTGAATATCAAAAAGCGCGAGCCACTAGGGCAGATTAACGGAATACTCTGAGTCAAAAACTTATGAGATTCATAGATTGAGTTTCTGGAGTTTTGGGGGCTTTTCATTTGATTTAAAGCTTATTTTTATGCTGCTTTTTTTTTTTTTTTTGCTCTTGACTTTCACATTTTGTTTGCTCTCTTTGAGAGTTTAATTTTTGTATATGGAGGCTCCAAAGAGTGGAACTTATTATTATAAAGATAGAGGGCGATGTAGAGTCCCAGGTTGCGGAATCTGTAAAAAATGGTTTAATTTGTTAAATGTCAAGTGGTTGCTATTTACCTGAACCACGGCGGTACCACCCACAAGGCATTGGTCGAGACTTACGTTGATATACGCATTAGATGCGGCTGTTGTCGTTGGTTTTTTGAATATTGGTGCTACTTGCTTTTCATATGATTTCTATTTTTCTATTCGATCGTATTCTTGTTTATATTTTGGGCTTGAATTAAGGTCTTGATTTTTTTGTCGTTTGTTTGTTTTTTTTTTTTTTTCTTTTCTTGATTTTGATCTTTTTTTCGTTTAAATATCGGTATTTCTTGGCACTTAGAATTTAAATAGTAGTACATTCAATTTGCATTGAGAGTAAGCTTTGCATACGCAATGCCGGAGGCTGTACTTACCTTGCTGCAGCCGTAGCTCTTCTTCGTTGTTGTACAGGAACAGGTAGCGCTCCTCTTCGCACAGCTGTTCCGCTCGCTGCTCGTCGGCGCTCAGGTATTCCAGACGATTGCCGTAGCCCCCGGGTGGCGCCTCGTACGTCGATAGATCGCACAACGCTCCACGCACGTCATATCTATATACACACATATATATAGATGTGTGTGTGTAAGTGTGTGCGTGTATGTGTGAATGCGTGTGGGTGGGTGTCCAAAGAAAAGAATAAGAGAAATATAAACGGGAAAAAGAACGTTGTTAGTTGACAGCATCGACATCGATGAGAAGGCGCTTATCACTCTCAATCACACGTAAACACGCATACATAGACGCACAAACACATACACACACGCACGCACGCACGCAAGGACACAGTTGAAATCAAATCAAAAAATCAAAAGATCTGTCGATCTTTCGGAACCGAAAAGAAATTTGCATCTCGATCAAATTGCTTCACACAGTTGTTAAATAAATTGGTATTGGTTAAATTAAATGTCTATAATTATGTATATGTATATATATATTTTATCAATTATTAGGTAGGTCTTAATCTTTCATACATACCGCTCCGGTTGCTAAAAAAAAGTTAATTGTTTGACGATTACAGTTCAAGAATTTGTTTAAAATTATATTACAGTTTGAGAAGCACTGAAAAGAGCTGTTATTACAATGAGAAAGCTTTTACAGTTGCAAGGTCTAGGGCTAGGTCAGTCAGGTCTCCCTTCCTACTACAATATATTATTTATATACGTTCAGAGTTTGGCTAAAGGTCGTCGTCTACGAAAAGGGTCCTGGACTCTAACCGAAGAAACAAGAAGAGAAGCAGCTGTCACAATTTTTCGTTCAGTTGGAGCCCTACGGTTCGGGTCTCGGTCGGCGTCTCTGTCAGGGTATCGGTTGGGCCGCGCTTATTTCCGTCGTGGGTTGCTTCATAACTAGGTGTGTGTATATTGTTGAGTAAGTATGATAGTTATGGACGGCTAGTGAACTGAGCCAGTCGTTGTGTTTCTCTCTTCTGCTACATAAACATATGGGATCCAGATGTAACATACATATATGTATATATATATATACACACATACAAGTAGAATATGTATGGTTGTATAGTGGCATTATATTAGATATATATAAGCTGAGAGCCGCCGGCAGGCAACAATTATTAACCTGTCTATTTTGAGATTTACATCGCCCATCCAGGGTATCAGCTGTTTGCCATGATCCATCTCACGCGCCTTCTCATCGTCCCGAAAAATCTTGCACGCGTAGCCAAACACCAGCAGCTCCAACGGGGGCTGGCGGGGATCGGCTGCCACGCCATTTGGGCCCATGCCCAATGCTGTTGCCGATGCTGTTGCAACGCCTCCCGTTTTGCGCAGAATGCCATTGATGCTGCCGCCAGCGTACTCACGTACCATTGCGTTGCTGCCGCAGGCACGCATATTGTAGGGCATCATTTATTTTGATTTCGCAACGTGCCTACACACTTATAGATATATACACACACACGCACTCCCACTTCGATTTGGCTTAAGCACTTTAATTTGTTGCAATTTTCATTTTATTTTTGCCACCAAATGTGTTTTTCTTGTTGATGTTGATATGCATGTGCCAGACAAGGGTTAAATGGAAATATATCGATGTATTCGCTGTGTCGATAGTTTCCAAAGCAGTTCTTTACAATGGCACAGAATGGTCTAAATGTTTACGGCCGAGAAATATCGATATCGATATAAAATTTTTTGGGCTATGTCAAAGCGGGTTTTCCTTTTCAAATCTAAAAATATACTGAAATGCCAAGCAATGGAAACTTTTCATAGTCAGATGCATATAAAGAAATACAAAACTTTATTTTATCAAGAAGTATTTTACTAAACATTCAATCATAATAAGGTGTCTAATTCCTTGGATTTGGGAACTTAAGGGTACGTAACTTTGAGTAAATAATATCCCAGTCGACATAGGCTCCTATGAGATGCCGCTTATTGTCTGGCGAGTCTTCGTACGCAGTACGACCGTGTAGCATGCGAAGATTGTTAAACACAAAGACATCGCCCGCACGAGTCTTGAACTCCACAGCTTCAGCTTGGGCCAGCTGAAGAAACTTATCGTAGGCCTCGTACCACAACATGGCCTGGTCCAACGGCACAGTAAAGCGACTGTCGCGCTTAGTAGTGTTCTGATTGATCCGCGCAAACTGGCCATCAACGTCCAAGCAGATGACGGGCGCACGCCACAGGCTGTGGAACGGCTTGCCCGCGTCACCATCGTGTCCAATGTCGAACCAATTCACCGGAACGGTGCGCAATATCTCGTAATAGTCTGGATGCTCGCGGCGCATCTTATCGGCAATGAAGAATCCATCGGTCATCATATTGGCTCCACCCGGTGACGACGATTGAACCAGTGTATGCAAAATATTGATGCCCGCTTTGTACTCATAGTAGGGCATGTCCGTGTGGAGCGGCAGCGGGGTCATCAAATACGCGTAATTCTTAGCATTCGGCTTCGACTTCACCTCAAACACATCCCTTGTACAGACAACAAACAGATTGCAATTGATTTAGGGAATATTGAATTGAAATGCAGACTCATACCCATAGGTGGTGCGCTTTATGTGGCCTATGCGTTCGGCCAGGTGCCGTGCGACTTCCGTATCGTGGGGCGCACCACGTAATAGCGCGAAGCCCTGGACGGCCAATGCCTCGAGCCAGTCGCGCAAAACTGTATCCTTCTTGAGCACATCGTCATAGGAAAACTCGCGTGTCACCTCGCCAAACTGTGACTTGCCCCAGAGCTGAGCCGGCGGCTTGTAGACTTCATTTAGATATCGTTGCCTCGACTGCTGGCCAAAGTCGCGCTCCTGTAACCACTCCAAGTCATAGCTGGAGTTGTGCGCATCCTCCCAGTTGACAATCAGCTGTTGGCTCTTCTCGTCATAGCTCACGCGTTTCGCCTGAACGTGCAGCGGACCGCGTTCCCAGTGGCTTTTGCGTGCTCTAGTCTCTGCATGGAAGCATTCCGGGCACTGACAATTGTCTCGCAGCCAAATGCTTGGGTACTTCAGCCTTTGTCCATCGGCCTTCGCCAGCTCCACGTATCGCTGGTCCAACAGCTGGGCCGTAATGCCGCTGGCATGGCGCTGAAATTGTCGAGTTAGCAGCGGACCAATCAAATGCTTGCAACTCAGCATGTTGACAAATACTAAAGAGTGAACAATGAACCAGGAACAGCCGATGGGTGATAGTGTTCATCGCTTATCAACAAATGTTGCTGCACGTGTCATCCGCTTATCGCTGCTCTTGAATTACTTCGCTCTCTCCCTTATTGCCATCTGAGTCCGTTTGATTGGCCAGTTGTATTACATGGACAATCGCCTCAGCACGTTCCGGCCAGCACTCATTGCGTGTGTCGACATGAAACCGACGATTTGCACCGCACAGACCGCACTCCATACTCAACTGGGTTTTCTCATCTATGCTGACAGCGGGTACGGATTTTTCTGAATTAACGGCGTTCGCATCTTTGTGGCACTTGTTGCGCTTCCCACGCAACCGGCGATGGCGTCGTTTACTGGAACTGGTTGCTGGCCTCTCCACTTCTTTGGGAGTTGGCTGCTGTTGCCCAATCTCTAACGTGGTGTTAATGCCCGGTAGCAGCGGCAAGGAACAGCGCCTGCAAAGCGTGCGTTTCACTCCCGGTGATCTAGAATTAAGAATGAAACTGTTATTAGCTATCATATATACACAATATCGGCTTGGAACTCACATCTTAATCAGCGCCTTGGTGCCCACGTTGCGGCAAAGCTTGCCATAATAGGCGGCCAGCGTGTTGTTGTTGCTGTGCGCCATTAAATTGGACGCCTGGTACAAGAAATTCATTCTGGAGCAAACGTGTTGCTGGGACAAAGTTTTTCGATTGGCCTTGTTGTTTCCCATGACGGAATGAACTTTAATTCATATAACTTTTGAACTGCTAATTTTTTTATTCAAAAGAAGCGATTTTAATATTTAACCCTAGTACACACGAGACGATATTAGATATTCGAACTGTTAATCGTGGTCACTTTCGATGTATTGACTAATCGATCAATAAGAATAATCGTTTTTATACATTTTTAACAATAATTATATACAATATTGAATATTAATAATGTTGAAGTGTAATTATTTGTTAATACTGATTTTTATGACAAGTATGCAAAATAGTGAATTCACAACTTATAGACGCCATCCACAAGTGGCAGCCCGCAAAAAGAAGTTGCCACTCACAGGGGCTCGCAGACACAGTGAACAGCTGTAAGTTTCCCGCCTTAATTCGATCCCGCAGCTGTGGGGCATGCAGTCCACAAAGACCTGAATGCGAAACTCTGTGCGAAAGAGCGATCAAAAGCTAATTCAGCAAAATGCAACGCGCAATAAAAGCCAACTAAAAGCCGAAAAAGCAACAGCAATTAAGTGAAACGCCGCTGAGCACCGACGCGTTTAGCGATTCGGCCTTTTTAATTATTTATTTTTATAATTTGTTATAGTTTTTTTTTTTTTTTTTGTGTCTCTGTACCGATCGATTTGTTACTAAAGCCTCGCGCTGGGGGTATATTGTGCGCGCAGCAAACATGTTCATACAGGACTTGAAGAATGACTTTTATAGACAACTGATAGGCAAGCGTATTTTGATTATTGTCAACTATGACGTCGACGCGATCTGCGCCAGCAAAATCCTGCAGTCGCTCTTCAAATATGATCACATGCTCTACACTGTGGTGCCCATAATGGGCGTGACGGGATTGAAGCGCGCCTACTCGGAGCACCAGAGCGACGTTAAGTATGTGCTGCTGATCAATTGCGGCGGATGTGTAGACATTGTGGAGCTGCTGCAGCCAGCGGAGGATGTCACCTTCTACATCTGCGACTCTCATCGACCGCTGGACGTTTGCAATGTCTACAGCGATCGACAGGTATGCATTCTGGGTGATCCAGCTCTGGAGGAAAACATACCAGGATTTGACAGCATATTCTACGATTCGGACGGTGAGGATGACGACGAGGACGACGACGATGAGGATGAGGATGCGAATGGTGATAGCGGCGCAGGCGAATCTGATGACGGCAATGGCGACGGCGATAGCTCCGAGAGGGTACGCGCTCCCAAGCTCAGCCGAATGCAGAAACATGAGCAACGCATTCTGCGCCAGAGAGCCAGACGTCAATGGGAATCGGAGCGGGATCGCATCATGTTCGACTACACACAATTCAGCTATTATGGCCGATCGACGGCGCTGTACATTTTTGAGCTGGCCTGGAAGCTGTCCAAGGACAACATGGATCTGCTCTGGTGGGCAATAGTCGGCATCACTGAGCAGCTGCTGCTGGGCAAGATCGAGAGCGCCGCCTACACACTCGAGCTGGAGAACATACAGTCGCACGTGTCGCGCCTCACCAACAAGACGAACGATCAGAACACAATGAGTGCATCGAAAATCAGCTTCGAGAACGACTTACATCTGGTGCTCTACAGACACTGGACGGTAACCGAGTCCATGCGGTAAGTGTAGCCAGTAGAGAGTCATAAAATCCTCGATTGGACTTAAATATTATTTTGATTGCCAGCTACTCTCGCTATTCCGCCTGTAAGCTCAAGCTGTGGACCCTGAGGGGTGAGAAGCGTCTCCATGAGCTGCTGGTCGAGATGGGCCTACCGCTGGTGCATGCGCGACAAACGTACAGCGCCATGGACTTGATTTTGCGCAAAGAGTTCTACTCCATGGTGGAGCAGCTGGCCGAAAAATATGGCATACCCGACATCGTCTATGGCACCTTTACGCTCAGCTATGGCTATCGTAGTCGGTATGCAGCGGCCGACTATGTCTACGCGCTGCTGGCCATTCTGCAGTCGGTGAAGAAGCATAAGACGCCAGAGGATTGCTTTATGGAGGCATCCGATGCACTGTCGCGCCAGCACAAACAGCTGCTCAACGTGGGCATCGACAATGCCAAGCTGCTGCATGCTGCCATCTTCCGGCAGGTGCAGAGCTGCCTGGAGGCGCATCAGGTACACTCGACTGGCTCCTTCTTTTACTATGTGCTGCAGGAGGAGCATGCGTTCTTCTCGTATCCATATGCACTGGCGCTGCTGGCCAAATTCGTGCTGCATGGCCATGTGGCCACGACGAGAGTGCGTCAAGCTCCGGATCTGCCACTGATTGCCACCTGTCCACTGGATGCGTCGCAGGGCATGTGCCTGCTGGTGGGCATTGCGCCGGTGCGCGAGGATTCCCCAAAGAACTTCTTCGGCAAGGCTTTCGATCAGGCGGCACAGAAGAGCAAGACGAACCTACTCCAAGATTTCTTTGAACCGTCCATTGTGCAACTGCGCCAGAGCGACTTGACCCGATTTCTAGATGCGTTGACCGTGCTTCTGACCTAGGCACAAATGCGCCACCCCACAAATATAGCCTAGTTTAGCCCCTAAGACAGTATATCCATCTAACGTAACCCCAGACCAGAACTAATTTAAGATAATCTAATTTATAAACAATTGTTTTTTTTTTACTAGCATAGCAATTCTGTTCGACATTGCCTTTAAGACTACTCATAGAAAATAATTATAAAAATTGTACATCGATTGTCAATAAGACTATGTAAACTATGTTAAGCCGACCTACAAATTGAATATATGGAAATAGACTTAAGCTATGCGTTTGTGGCATCCGATTTGAAATTGTGTAAAACAGACAACAAATATATAATAATAATAGCACATGTGTTTACTATACAAATTGGATGTTTTCTTATATTTATATGTATATGTATTGCTTGAATCTCAGACGAGATTTTCGTCTCTTCCGTCTGGCAGTTACCCTATCAAAAGTTATAAGCTTTGTATTCCATCTATGTAAATATATGCACACATTCATATAAAATATAAATATATTCATATAAAATATATATTATACATCATCTAACTATCTACTTAGCTACTATCGCTCCATGGCCACTTGCTGCTCCAGGCACTGCAACGGTTCGCCATGCAGAATGCGCGCAGCTCCCAGGCAAGCCACGTCGTCATAGAAGACAGCGTATTGACCTGGTGTGATGGCGCGAAGTGGTGCATCCAGCTGCACCTCGAAGGGTCGCAGCTGGCAGTCGACGAGAGGCTTGGTGTGCTGGAAGCGGAAGCGGCAACGCAGGCTACCTTCAGTGGCCAGCTGCTGCCGTGCCCGGCTGCACAGCCAATTGACTGCATCAATGTGAATGCGGGTGCTGTGCAGCGCGGGATGCTCATGGCCGGCGGCTACATAAATGATATTGCTGGCTGCATCTTTGCGGGCCACAAAGTACGGCTGCAGATAGGAACTGAGACGACAGCGCTGACCCACGGTCCACTGGTGAACGCCCTCGTGGGTGCCCACAATGCGGCCGCTATCGATGTCCACAAAGTTGCCCGGCTTGGAGGTAATATACTATTTGCAGAGAATAGGAATTGTGAGTGAATGCATGGAATTACTTGAGTATAAAAGTATTTACCTCCCGTATAAATGCCTTGAAGTCGCGCTTGCCCACGAAGCAAATGCCAGTGCTTTCACGCTTTTCGGCTAGCCGCTGCAGGCCGATGCGACGCGCTAATTCCTTTACGGCAGTCTTCTTCAGTCCACCCAGCGGGAACATTGTACGTCGCAGTGCCGCCTGTGCTATGCCGGCTAGAAAGAAGGTCTGATCCTTAAATGTGTCGGCGGGTATGAGCAGGCGAACATCATCCGTTATCTGACCGCCGGCATGCTCTAAAAAGTCACCCAGACTATTGCGAGCATAATGGCCAGTGGCTACGGCATCGTATTGAAGCGTCTGAAGAGCGTGCTGATGGAACAGGTCGAATTTGATATGCTTGTTGCACAATATGTCCGGATTGGGTGTCAAGCCCTGTTGATAGTCGTCCAAGAACTGGCTAAATACCGATGTCCAATATTGCTTCACATAATTGACCTGGCGTAGTTCAATATTTAATTTCCGGCAAGCCCATTCCGCATCCCTTAAATCCTGCTCTCCACTGCAGCGACCGGCCTCATCGTGCTCATCCCAGTTGCGCATAAATACGCCGAGTACATTAAACCCTCGCTCCTTGAGCAAATGGGCGCTGACTGCACTATCCACGCCCCCGGATATGCCCACCACAACATTGCGTATCATTATGAAACATCCAGCATTCCACCTGTTTATTTTGTTCACTCCAAACGTATTTTTACATTCGGCTGTTGCTGTTTCGAGTGTGACCAGCTTGGGAAGTGCAGTATTTTTCGGAGTCAATATATGCCAACGACAATGCAGGCTAGTTTTTCATTTGTGGTGTTCCCGAATTGTTCTTAAATTTGAAATTGTATAGAAAACTATATGGATGAAATAAATTGAAATTTATTGATGCCATTTATTTACATTGATGAAACTCTTATTAAACACTATAATTTGTACAAAATATTTTTTTTTTTTTTTAAGTTTAATTCATTATACAGCTGCATCTACTAATGTTGCTTTACCATGTTAATGCTCCGTATTCGTACATTTATCATAGGAACTGTCTTTTTTTCGATTCTTTCACTAAAAGAAGCCCCAACAATTCAAAAACAGCATAACATATTTTTGTTTGTGTTTTTTCTAACGTATAAAGGATGAAGCCTTTGTTTTGTTTTTGGAACGTCCCATGTATATTTGTAAAATACCGTTACTTTCGGTATTTTTTTGCTTTGCACCGGATGGTTACACTGCCGCAGGCTGTGGCTCCATATGCCGTATTTACAGTTAGTTCATTCGTCGTCTTTGTCGCGTTCGCCTGCAGCGAGATTCCGTGCAAACTTAGATTTTGTGTGTTTTGAGAAGTTCAACGAGTTTCTGAGTTTTCGAAGTGCGTGCACACATGTAGATTAAGGTGTTTTACCTTGCTAAATATACACATATATTTTTTTCGAGTGCTTGGGTATGTGATTGGTCGAAAGAATCGTGACAAACACAAGTAGAGTGCGGCCCTATAATTGTAAATCAGCGAACTTACATATCTCTTATATTTAATGCTTGTAATTCCTTTTAGAGCGCCACTCGTACAGCTGTTGGTATCGTAAACTTTGATTGACAGCAACCAGCGTTTCAGCTGCAGAGTGTATCAGTCAATACAAGAGGTAAGCTCACTTCTAAGTTTCTATCCAAAATTGTGTAAACAGAAACTGTTGATCAAGTCCAATGCAATTGAATTTTTTTTGAGGTTATAAAGGGCGCGCCACCAAATTCGAAATGAATCAACGAAAATTATTTGTTGAATTAAAGTTGATACCGAAAGTAAACATAATATTATAGGGATAATCTTAAGCCTTAAGATCCAAATTTGAAATGCTTAGCTATTAAAGAGCTTGTAATTCTTTGGGCTTCATCTACAAAATGTAATTATTTGCAGTGCTTTATACGTCCTTAATAAGTTCAAATCTTTCGCTTTGCCCAGCTTCTGTCAAAACCAAACAAATCGTTTTTTATTTTTTATTGTGCCTCGCCTTTCCGTTTGCTTCCTTTCTTTCGTTCTTAGAATATTGTCCTGAAAGGTAGTTAATAGCCAACAATGGTCGAAATAGCAGCCACAAAGGAAAATCTCTAATTAAAAAATAAACCCAAATAAAATAAACAATTAACTCTGGGAATAACGGTAAGCTGAGTCGTTGGGCCTTGCGTTAATTGTTAGCCAAAAAAAGAAAAGGAAAATGAAACTTTTGAAAGTTCCTTTCGTGTGCAGACAACATTGACTTGATTGGCTATCAAAGCGGGCTAAATAGCCCGCAGTACATTTGACTAAAATGATATATAAAAATTGAAGGAAAATTAAACATTTCATCATTTGGGCGCTGCTCTCTGGGCACTTTTCTTTCTATTTACTTTTAGTGCAATGCAACTTGTGCTTGAACCTTGCCAAGGCTCTCAAAAGGAGGCCACAGACATTTGTCAAGGTTTGCTCCATATATAAAATATATTCTCTAGCTGGGTGTGTGTGGAGATACCTATGTATGTGTGCATGTGTATATAAATATGTCAAAATATTTGCAAGAAACCAAAGAGAGTGGGGGGCGAGTGGGCGTGTGGGCGTGTTTTTTGGCGCAAATGCATAATAATAAATGGCTACAATTTGCAATGGAAACGGAAACAATTAGGAAATAGAAACAGCGAGCGGAAATGTAGGAGTGTCGAGTGGAGGGCGGAGATTGTAGAGAGCGGGTTTATACGCCAGTACGCCAGTTGGTAATCTGTGCAGAGAGCAATGCGAGCCGAGGTGTGTGGGGTTCGGGTTCGGGAAATTGTTTTGGTCACAACAATTAAGCCAAACTGAAATGGACGCAACATTAATCAAGTGAGCTGGCCAGGAGGGCGTACGGAGCGTGGGTGCCTAGGTGCCTAGGTGCCAGGGTGCGAGTATGCCTGACTGCCTGGCTGTTCGGGTGCCCGGGTGCCAAGTGACAAATAGGCATAGCTGCAGGTCATGCAGCATAATGGCGGGTCGTTCTCAGTCGTCAGCTAAATGAAAACGGGAAGCGGAAACGGAAACGTGGTTGGCCCTACAAAAAAAAAAGGAGAGGAAAACGAAAGAGTAAAAGTAAAGCAAAAAAAAAAGAGTGTAAGAGAGGATGGATGCCAATCTGTTGTGCAGTAAGCGGCTTTGGGGCCACTTTGCGTGATTCATTTTGCAATTTGCAAGAGATAACAACATGAAGACTCTATTGCTGCTCACAGGGTTTTGGGAACACCGAGGCCGGCACTCGACATCCTTTCGCCTGGCTGGCGAACCTTTTTAAGCTGATTTCGTCTCCTTTGGCTTTTGCTGCGTCTTGACTTGCTAACGCATAAAATATACACACATATATACATATATATACTATATGTATAAAATGAAACAAAGCAAAGCGAGGCGAAACAACAACAAAAATAAATAACAATAATAACAAAAACAAAGTGAAAACAATTTCCGCCAAAAATTTACGAATGTTTTTGATTATGAAATGACGCACGTGGCGGTCGATTGGGGACTTTGGGCATTGCAGGGGGTCTGGGTATGGGGCTTGCACTGTGCACTTGGCACACTGGGCGTGGTCGCACTTGAAACTTTGCCAACTCTTATTGTCGTTGTTGTTACTGTTGTTGCTGTTGCTGTTGCTGTTGCTGCTGCTGCTGTTTGTTGTCGTTTGTAGCTGCTACGCTTATTAAATTTGTTTGCTCTGTTTTTTTGAGGATGCTGTTGCTGGTCGTAAAGATGAAGGCAGCAGCAGCAACAGCAACAGCATCCACTCCACCTCTCATCCCCGTTCCACTCCGTCTCCTCCTCCACCCCCTGCTCCATCTCCTGCTCAAAACTTTCAGCTCGGATCTTGATGTAAATGCTGTCCCAAAACACGGCTGGGAAACGCTTTCAACCTGAAAACAGGCGCTCGTTCCTTCAGTTTGTTGTTTTCTCATTTAATTTTTTACCCACATATACCTACATGTAGATGTGTATGTATGTATATGCAGAGCATGTCGTGTACCGTTAAGCTCTTTAGACTTGATTAAAGTTAATTGGCAGTCGGTCAAAGCTATTGACGCCGGGGCGTCACATGACGAGCTCAGGAGCGCCAACTTTTTCCGCTCTCATATTCTTAAATTGAGTGACACAGTCATGGCACATTCGGAACTTTTCAGATTCGTTTAGCAATAATTACATAATTGCGAGTGATTATAAATATTTTAGTATATCTTAAGAGGTTAGAGTGCTTGCTAGAGCTTAAAATGAAATTTAATTTTTTAATTTTTAATGTACATATAATAATACCTATGTATATGTATAATTATATACCATTTCTAATGCATACTAGCATTACTACTACTACTTATTGCAATCTTTGGCATCCAATTTGATTATTCTTTCATCGTAATGCCGTCTCTTTTCACATCCTACCGTCTCCTCTCCTCCCCTTATCAACATAAGACTTCAAGTCCTCTTCTTATTTCGTCTGTCCTTTTCGTTTCGTTCACGTTGGCTAGTTTCTTATCTCTTGTTCCTCTTCCCACTGTTCTACTTTCCTCGTCCACTTTCAGACTCGCTCGTGTCCTCTCATCACTTCTAGCTGCCTCTCGTCTTCTCTCATCTGGTTCCGTTTCCCTGCCTCCCATGTTCCCTATGTCTCTTTTTTCTTCTCTCAGCCGCAATCATCTTTAAGCTTGTATTTTCCTTTTGTAATTAAATTCGATTATTAAATCTAAAACAGAAAACTAATTAAAAATTGTCTAGTAACATATACTCATGCCCATCCAGGGTGTTTTGTAGTCAGGCAGAGCTGTTTGTTTTCAATTAAGATAAAAGTATCAAAAGAGAACTTGGTTATTCAAAACAAGTTTCAGCTTACGAAAATTTCACTTAGCCCAAATTGCACTGCAACGAAAAAATCTGAAACGTTGCAGTGCACGCGTAAAAGCACACAAATACATACAGAAGCACACACATGCACACACACACACACACACATGCACACACACACACACACACATGCACACACATGCACACAAGTTGAGTATGCTGGCTGTCATTGGGCTGTGAAGCTGGCGAAAATGTAATTTAAATCATAAATATAATTTTTATTTAATGAATTGGATCATGCAGCAAGTTCCTTGAGCTGCCTGCTCATGTGTCTACGTGCTGTATGAAGCACACACACACACACTCACACACACACACACACATACACATATGCATGCACATGCCGCTTTCTGGTAGCAACGCTGACGTGCAACAAATATTTTACATGACTGACTCAAAGACGGCAACGGAGAAGAAAATTGTTGTAGCAACAGCAACAACAACAACAAAATGACTGCAAAACTTTTCACATAAGAAATTTTCGCATCGTCCTTTGCCCCGCACCGTCCCCTCAGAAAGCACTTTATCGCTACTGTTGGCATCATCAAGTTGATTAAGTGCATAACTTTGCATCGATGTTTGCTGCAAATATGAATAGTTTGGAATCTGTCAGAAAGTTTTGCCAATTGCAACTGGCACGGCCACGACGGCAAGCATTCATACCGCTGCTGATAGTCCCGATCGAGCTGTGCTGCTCCGTGCTGCCCTGGCTCTGGCTCTGGCTAATCCCGAGCTCGGCTTATGGCTGCTGCTGCTGCTGCTGCTGCTGATTATGCAATACAGTAACTGTCAACTGTCGCCCCAACAGTGGCCATCTCACCATCTCGCCATCGCCATCGCCTGTGGCCTGTAAGCTGTCGCCTGTCCAGGTGAGGCGGCAGTGCAGCTATGCGGCAGGCAGCAGGCAGCAGGCAGTTACGTATACAAAAGCGCAAAAGCTGCAACACAATGGCCACCGGCGGGCTGAGCGTCAAGCGGGGGCGTGCTTGTGGAATTGCGGATGGCCTTGCATGTCCGTGTGGCATCCCGTCCCCCTCGTGCCGCCGTCCCGCCGTCCTGCACAATGTTGCACCCCCGTGTGCCACAATGTCGCCTGTCATTGTTTGGGCGTCGTTTGGGGACAAGAATAGCAGCAGGAGCAACAACAATAAAAATAACAGCGAGCACAACAAAAACGAATGCCATTCAGCAAAAATGAAAGAGAAACATACGAAAATTTTTGGCCAAGTGTAATCCAAGTGGGTAGCGCTACATCTGCCCCACACAGCCAGCCAGCCAGCCAGCTCGTCCAGCAGCAAGGACATGACACGGTTAACGATAGCGGAAGCGGAATTGACGACTGGTCGACGGCGATATGGTGAGATGTTGCCCCAATTAGAATCTCTCTGTAATTACACGGATTCCATACGAAATCGATAGACATTATGACTTGTTCCATAAATGAAAAGACATTTATTGCGCACAGTATGCAAAAGAACTGTGTAGCGCTTTAATTGTGTAAGGCTTTAACTGTGAATTTATCGATAGCCGATAAATGTTATATATACATAAATGTATATATCATTAACGCTTTTTGCATTAATCAACTCTAAATAGCATTTACATTTATATGTATAACTTTGTACTTAGTTTTCTTTTACTCAACTTCAATCTTATTTGAATTTCGATATAATTTTCTTTATTTATAGATAATTTATCGGTAATAATGTACCACTTTTCTTTGGTTTATCAAATTTCCATCTGTTTACCTAAACTTACACTTAGCTTATTGACAGTGATGTGCGCGCTTTAGTCTTTCGATATGTTATCGATAACCGATTGATTTACTTTTTAAGTATGACACTGATTAATTTACACTTGAGTTGCTAAACATACCATATAGAATAATATACTATGCAATGAGAGTTCTCTAGTGTGATTGATTTTCAACCATCGATATTAACTCGTCGTACTAATGCACTCACAGCTCGCCTCTTGTGCTGTGAATTGATTAATTGACCGCAATTTAAGCAAGCTAGTGATAATTATGAGCGAATGAAGTGTGGGCTACAATTGAATTTATTGCATAGCAATTAAATCTCTGTGCTGATTGACGTCGCCTTCCATTTAGTCAGGCAAACAGTGTGAGAGCACTACCTCCTCCTGCCGCTGGTCACTACCTCCTGCCGCTGTCCATCTATGGCAAATCAGTTGTGAGCTGCACCTAAAATGCATTCCTCACTCAATTTAGCTTTCCACCTCAAACTGTGCATGTTCTCTCGAAGCCCAAAGAGCAGGCAAACGGCCTTGCGGGCCACCCACTGCACTCGTTGTGAATCAAAGGGCGGTGCTAGGCGGGCGGATGCAAATGACTGCACTTTGAGCTTTTCAGATTTGCATACATAAGATATGATTGAAATTGGTCGGCTGGGGCAAACGGGGCGGGCCGTAAATTACAGTTAACTGCAACCTAAGTGCTGTCAAACGTACTCTCTCCCCTCTCTCTCACACTCTCTCTGTCTCTCTGCCCTCCCTTAGCTCAGTATGAAATTCAGTCAGGCTCTAGGCATGCCGTACTGGGAATGTACTTTGCCTACTACACGGAGAATTCACTCCAAACTAAAATACTCACACAGAATAATACACACATTTTTGGCTGCACTGAAAAATATAAGGAAATTCTTTTAAATAGCTCCCGAGAGAGCCCAAGAAAGCGGGTAGACACAGACAACGGACGAACAGAAGAGTGCGAATGTGATGTTAGAGGCATGGAGCACAATGAGCCCCAAAACTGTGCCGAAACATTACGGAGCATGCGGCAACAGATCGCGCTGGCCAACGCACAGCAGATGTTGGGCAAGATAACGGTGAACTGCTTTAGGAAATGCATCGACAGGCCGGGCACATCGCTGGCCAGAGCCGAGGAGCGCTGCTTGGTGCAGTGCATGGACCGGTTCATGGACTCCCTCAAGGTGGTCTCCATCACCTACAGCAGGCGACTCATGCGAGAGACCAAGTAGAGCCCCCAGCTGAGTCAAGCCACCAATTCACAAATAGATTCTCGACGCATGTAAACTTCAAGTGAGATTTTGTTAATCGCTACGCATCTTTGTCCAATGGATGTCCTCGAGCATGGTTCGCTTTGGTTCTACTTACAAAAAAATTACAAACAAATACATTAATTATCAATTGCTTAATTAGTCTTTGATATTCATCGAATGCGCTGTACACTCAATGTAATACCCCGGAAATTTCGCTTGCTCCCGAAACAGAGCAGACTGAGAATGCTAAGGACAGCATCATAAGGATCACAAAAGGAAAGCCCATATATGCAGATGTATAATATGTATATATCTGCTGGAGATTACTTTAAAGGAATCACCTAATTCATAAAGAAGTATATACATAGAATATATACATATATGTATATACACTTGTCAGTGAGAGGAAACCCTACTCTTCAAATTTATATGTTGTCGAAAACCTTTTAAAAAAAGATTGGCATGGAAACACTTGCGAAAGGCAATCAAAGTAGAATTAGTCCATGGCATCAAGGCCCACTTCATAGGGCTCACAATGTGCCCGATTCTCAATTGTTGAAGTTTCCATTATACTTTATTCATATCCTTCATACCTTTATGCCCTGGCCTAACTGCAAATCATGTCAAATGGATCTACTTCATGGCTTTCACAACATGAGTACGGAATCTGGTGTTCTATACAGGTTTTTATTTTTGATTAAAAACTCAAGTATTATGTGCGGTTCTTTTATCAGCTGTCACATGATTATCCCGGTACGTTTGCAAGACGTTAAAGTCTTCTACAAAGGAATATAAATGATATTCCTTTGGCTTGTGAGCGTGAAACCGTCAACAGTCGATTAGATTTAACATGTTAAATTTGTTGACATCCAAAGCCAACAAGTCGCCCTACATACAACCTTTTGATCTCTGAGATCTCGTTGGCCCCACTCCCCCCCTCCCTATACACCCCATCCCTCCCTTTTCAGGCTGTCTCTCAACGAGTACGCACCAAAGCGAGCTGAGCTGAGCTGAGCTCTGCTGTGCTGGTGCGACAAATCTACTTGCCAGAAAAATTGTCAGTTTTGGAAAAGTGTAATAAAAGTAACTCGGATGCCACAAAGGGAAGGGAGAACCACGTGCGAGTGGGTGGATGCTTTATGTGTGTGTGTGCGTGTGTGTGTGTGCACAACAAATAACGAGCAAGAAAATAAAACGCATGCAAATATGGCGATGAATACGTAAAATAGATGAGGCGCGCAAAATGCAAATCCACGCACAGTTACTACTACTGCGTGTGTGCGTGGAGTGTGTGTGCGTGTGTGTGTGTGTGTGTGGAGTGTAGATTGTGAGCGCACGATGACGTCAGCAAATAAAAGGCTTAAAAGGCAACGCGAAGCAACCATAAAAGGGACAACAAGCTCAACAAACACACAGACAAACATTTAAATTTGAGCCACACACACACGCGCACACACACACACACGCACACACACTACCACTACATGCATGACTACAAATGTGGCATATGCATATGCGTACATATGTCCCAACATATGTAAAGCCACCTCAACAGGAGCGAACACTTTTAATAGGCCCACTTGCCAGCATACCCTGTAATAAAGCGAATAGGGAGACTTTGCTGTTGATAGCAATCCCCATAGGAGAACTCTTGACTCTTGCTGTCTGAATAAATTCCGTTTCATTTCATTCTGCATTCCTCAGTATTACGCCAAGCAGGGTATCTCAGGGTCGCTCATACCCTCCTTCATTTGCACATTCACAAAGTTTTTGTGTAGTTTCGCCATTTTCGTGTTGCCTTTTTGTAAGTCGCTTAAGCCACATTCGTGTCGGGCTCTAACTGTCTTTTTGGTCCTCTTTTGTTTTTTTTTTTTTTTTCACTGTCCATCCCCAGCTCATGTCGACCACACGCTCCGTACTTCCCCCCCATTCACCATTTGTTGACTGCATTAAGTCAACATTTAAGTAAAATTTATTATAAATGAATGCCTCGTGCTTAGCTGGAAAAATGTTTGTTTGCCTTCAAAGCAGAAATTGTATCTCAATTCAAGTGTCTGGGGATTTCTGAAGTTTATTGTCATTACGCAGGTTGAGCTGAGGTGGTTATATATACATACATATATTGTAGTCTATACATGTCTGAGTATCCAAATTAATTTCATCTAAACTTTTGTAATGAAAATGAATTCCAATTAGTTCTTATGGATTCAAAAGTTAAGTAACTTTTATGACTTTGCCCAAATAAATATATTACAGACATATAAATGATAAAAAAACTTGCATAAATACCAGGCTTCATTCTCCTAAACAGTCCACAAGAGCCGCCTCTTCAGACCACCTGAGCCATAGCCGCTATGAAAACTTTCAAAGCCTCATTCATTAGGCTCAATCGCATCGCACAAGTGGCCAGCCTTAACGAGGCGACATTTCAATAGTATCTTGACGAAAGTTTGAAGCGCTTGGAGTCGACACCAAATCAAGTGCTAAGCGTGCCTCAAGTCAAATGACTGTCCGATAGCCGGGCTAATAAAGCCATGAGCACTAGAGCTGCCAGACGAACGTGTCAAGTCCGCTTTGCCCCATAAAGCCTTTCGGATCAAGTTGGGTTATCATGGCTCTACTGCGCTGCCAATATAATATATATATATATATATATATATATATATATATATTTGCTATAGAAGCTAGCAAAAACTTAAACACTTTATTTCATTTTTATATATGTAGCTGGTTCATTTCCTTTTTTTTATCTTCATATTCATATATGTATATAAAAAAGCGTTTGCATTTTTTTATTATTTTATTCTAGATTAACAGTTTTGCCGTTTAAAGTGAGGAAACTTTGGCAGATTGCAGAATTGTAATAAATTGATTTCATTTTGAATTGCATTTGATTGGATTATGCCCAATTATGGGCTGCAAGATAAAAGTGTCAAAAGCTCTTGTTTAATTAAATAATAAACTCAACGCCAATCGAACGCACTCAATTATTTATTAAGGTCGTAATGCGCATTGCATGTAATTTGATTTCGTTTGAATGTCACGCGACAGCCCATCCATTAGCTTATATTCTTATGCGTTTAGTATATCGGCTAGACAATTGCAGTGAATCGGATTGGTTTCTGTGCTAAGGGTAGATATCTAGATAAGATACTATTTTAGATCTCTAAAGACTTTAATCGAACTTTATTGCTGTATCCATGTTTGGGATTAGTTAAACTAATGCAAATTCTTTTCTATATATATATCTCTCTTATATTTGAGCAGTCCCTAGAAAAAGACTGGGAATTAGAAAACTTTTCTTGGCATTTTGTGCGCACAATATAACTGAAGATTCAGCATTGCCAAGTGCTAAAAGTTTGTCTTTACCACACACACACATAAGCCTAGTACACACACAGCTCGATTCACATAATTAAAGTTGTATATCCACTTTGGTACTTCGTTTGGGCACTGGGTAGGCGAATCATTTGTTGTTGTACACTTTAAGTTTGGCTTTCAGATTTCGATCTAAACACATTGTACACAGTGAAGTGAATTCAATTCGGGCACAAAATTACACACAAATTTTTTATATTCCGTTGAGAAGGCAACACCAAATTTCTTAGTATCGTTCACACTCGTTAATTCGGAATTTAGGACTTGGGCAAAATTTTCAAGTGAAGTCATGTCCAGTGCGAATGTCAAAGGCGAAGCCTGTCCAGAGTCCAGTCCCGTGCCACGACCCAGTAACGTGCGAAAACTGATCCAAATGTTCGAACAGCTAACCGTTTACGGCGGACAGACGGCGCCGCCACCTGTGCTCCGGGCTGACCCGCCGCATCAGGCGCCGAGAGCTGTCAAGACGCTCACCTTGCTGGTGAATGGACGACGCGTTGCCCAGACCAGGCACGAGAGTGTCCAGCAGACGAGAGCGGGACTGGATGCAAGTCCGTGAAATGTTGCCATGTTCGAAATTTTAGTGATGATCTATTTTGTGTAGCAAAATCGATGTACCGATAAACAACAAGTAACTGCGATGGAGCTATGGGTTCCTATTGGTCTCAGCCAGTCATAGACGCCGCTCTGATGTGTTTGCTGTGTTGTAAGAAATAACCCCAAACCTGCGAGTATTCAAAGTGAATCCCCTGAGTAAAATTATTTATATAATATAGTATCAATAAAAGTATCAGTATCAATAAAAGTAAAGGCAATGTAAAACCCAATAATCGATGTTCACATAATAGATAAATATCAAATTGAGTGCCTTACTCATAAATTATAATCGATAGTGCTACAAATTGTTTTATATATATAGAAAATTGCGATATATATAGAAATTTTATTTTATGTATCAAAATCACATTCAGTACTATCAATTGATAGTACTTTAGAATTTTTTTGAGCTTAAGTGAATTAATTTTGGTTTCATAAACACAAGCTCTTCGGTTATGTCTAAGCTTATCGCTAAGGCTCAAGTGCTTCTTGCTCTTCATTTATCGATAGTCTTTGCTTCGCTTGACCGATAAATGCCAGAGTGCATAAACGTTAATAGCTCTGGCAACTCCGCTAACTGGCACTCAAAACTTTGCCCTTGAATGCCAATTGAAAGACGTTGTGTAACCAGAGTCCACTCAAGTGTCCCACTCGACTCTTTTGTGGTCGAATGCTGTTGCAAGTGCTGCACAATGCCCACGCTGATTGCACATTCAAGGCGCATTCACTCGATGCCTTTCTTCAGCTCGAGTTCGAGTTCGAGTTCGAGTTTCAGCTGGAGCTCTTGGTCTGGTCAGAAGTTTGGTCAGAACTTTTCAATTGGCTAATTGTTTGTGCATTCCGTTTGAATGAAATTCTTTGCCCGGCGGACGGCCAACCGGATTTTTTGTCCGGCTGCACGAACTGCCTGTGCTATACATGGATATCTGCAGTTGAACTTACATCTTTGCATTTGTTTCAATGGCCATTTGCATATTTTATTATTTTATTTATCCTCGTTATTGGCATTTCAGTGAAATTCAATTACCCCCACCACAACTCCGGCCGGCCCTTGCCAGAGCACGGCAAATTATCATCGAGTAGGTCGCTGTCAGAAGCAGAAGCAGGCAAAGCGCATTGCCGCCCATCTGTTTGCATTATTTACAACAAATAATCCCAT